TGAAATGAATGGTGGGCCAGGAAGCCGAACGGGTCAAGGCATTTTTTCCTGCATGCTGGGCCAGGAACCCCGTGCGAAATGGTGGAGCCCCCACCCGTGCACCGAAGCTCTGCTGGCGAGCCGCGAGGCTTGAAGATCTACGTGCGCCGAGGGTTTGGTTCAAAGACTGAGTGAAGTTGGCAGAGTGTCTCCGGGTCACTCGGGTCACTCCGGGGTCACTCGTCAGACCGGGTCACTCGCTCTACACTTTGAGGGTCATTGACTGTGAGACATGTCCTCCATGTGTTCGAACGGCTCCTGGGAGTGATGGTAGCTGCTACCGCTACCCCGGAGTGTAGCTGCGCACGATCTGCAGTGTTTCACCATCGACAGAGACGAGATCCGAGAGCAGGAAGAGGGCAGCTGGAATGAGAAGGAGGTTGGTTGGTTGGTGGGTGGGGTGGGTGGGTTGGTTGGTGGGTGGGCTGGTCGGTCGGTCGGTTCGTTCTCTTTACTGTGTACGGCGAACGGTATATGAATGTATATATTAGGTATATAAGCTAGTACCAGGACCCTCCAAGGGGTGTCTATTTATACCCCCTTAGCTGTTAAGGGGTGTCCATTAACCACCCTTTGGGGGTCCAGGTATATACCAAAAAACATCTATACACTCCCGAAACCCAACATAGACCCTGACGACTTTCCATGCCCCCTGGAAGATGGTCTTCATCTACCAACCAGCGGTGTACTCAGGGTCCAGGTGGATCTCTTCCAGACGTGTATATTGGCGAAGGGCTCCAAACCTCAAACCCTCCCCCAGCCAGCAAATCCTAAACCAGCTCAGTCTGGCTTTGCGCCGTCCTCTCTCGGTGTTTTGGCTCCAGCGCCGCAGAGAACATCTCTTGCGCGGCCGGGAAGGAAGACCCCCACGTACCTGGGCTGGCGAGGGGCTGGCAAGGGCCGGCAGGTGGTGGTGCTTGGGAGTCCCTGTTTCTGGAGGTGCTTGGGGCTTTCTGAAGGCTCTGGGCGAAGCGTTTCAGAAAGAGGAATCAAGTTGAAGTAGAGTCAAAAGCAGCAAGCCGCACCACCCAGAAACTCGGGGGGTGAAAAAGAACCTCCAACCGGCCTTTTCAATCCAAGAAGCATCACTACTATCTCGCCCTGTGTAGGAGCCGGACTTCTTCCCTGCTTGGGGCGCATTCATGCTCGAACGCCACCTCGGGACGTCGTCGCGACGGGGCGAGCGAGACCGGAAAGCCAAGGACCCTCTGCAACTCCTCTACCAACAGAGGTGGAATGACCCGAACTCGACTATCCCATAGGTCCCCCAGGTGTTCCGGGTCCGACCTGGTCCCGGGAGACCTGGCTACCTCTCTTGGCACCCCCCACTCCTCGAAACCCATCTGCCTGGGGTCGCAGGGAGCATGTGGCGAATCCGGTTCGGCCCGGCACTGAAGCCGAGACGACAGCGATTCCACCTGAGGACCCCAAGCTTATCATGGACCAGGATAGCCCCTGCCTGATAGCCCCTGCCAAACTGATGGGCGTCTGACACCCCTGAGTCGTGTCCACGCTCCGGAAGAGTGGCAGGACCTTCCCCCAAAAGGACAGTGGCAGCAGCTACGTCGGGGTGCGCGGCAAGTGTCATTTTTGCGGGAGGAGATATATGGGATGCTGGTTCCAGGCCCCAAAGATCACCTGGGTTATACCATATAGCTGGTGCTGTTCCAGGTGCAAGTGAATCTGCTATGGTGACCTGGAACCCGGACATGACCTCTGTTTTTGATAGGAAGTTGGACCATATCTTGGGTGGTTGGTGGTCCAAAATAGAGGTCACGACCCGGTTCTAGGGTCACCAATGGGTGGTTTTAGGTGGCTTTAGTCCCATCCAGTGAGTGGATGTTCTGGGCACCCCTATCCTCCAAGTTCGGCACCCCGTCTTGTGACTCCTGGGATGACATGTCTTGGAAGCCTTGAAAACCTGCCCGCTCGCGGTGTCCCGCCGGCCGCCCAGGTGGTTTTCCGGCTCCGAACAAGCAGAGGTGCGGGGGGGTCGGCGTCGCGGAACGTGGCGGCGTGGCGGACCAGGAGACTCGAAGAAGAAGAAAACAGACGCATCCCATAATATGTAATGTAGACTCTTGATTAATAAAGCACCCAATTGAAATGGAAAATCATCTTCATGTGGGGGGTTTATTAATCAAGAGTCTATATTATCTCCTGTGTCCGAAACGTGTTTTTGCGCGATAGTTTATATACATGTGCATGCATGTTCATAATGACTCATGATTCATGTGTTTCTTTTTGAGTGTTCAGCAGGCCGGAAACAAAAGCAAAAGAATGACTTGTACATTCTGTTCATTTTTGTGGCACGTGAAGTAGTTTGGCCAGCCCCAGCATATGAAGATCATGAAGCACATTCACTTCCTTCTTGGTGCTTCTGAGCTTCTTGTGGGAGTCTTGAAGCCTACCGGAGCGACACCATATGCGACACCTGCACGGACAGCACTCCTTCCCGCAGCCACAGGAGGTGTTTTCCAGCCTCGCACGGTTCTGAGAACCGACGGGTCACCGACAGTCGACCTTCCCCGATGGCGATTTTGGATTTCAAGGTCTTCCCCTACATGTATGACCATCACCTCATTTTACTGGAGATGGTCATACAAAACCAATACATATGGAGGTAAAAGACCAGGTTTTACTGGGTCAGACTGGACTTGTAGGGATCGCTGAAATTGGCAGATGTTCATATGAGAAGGTTGATGGAAGAGCTGACACTGAATTTCGTGGCGTTGGTCGAAGAGAGCCAGAAGGTTCATTGCTTGTCTCAACACTCTCCTTCTCAAAGTTGCAGATCAACTAGGCGGTCATGTTTTGCAACTCTGCGACGCGTGTGGAGTTGCTGGCCAAGAAGGTTTTCAGAGCTTCGATCCTCAATGAGTGTCCAACCTCTGTCATCTCTTCATGCGCTGACGCATGTACCAGTCAGTCTCACAGGAACCGTTATAACGGTTCCTGTGAGACTGCTTGAACCGAGTGCTTCAGGGTCCTTCAGGTTCTGACACGTCCAATCTTTGGCGTGCTGAGCACGTGCTTGCATGGCTTCCACGTGGGAAATCACATGGAACGACGTGAATCTGGTGATCAACTTGGACTCCAAACCATTTGAGCTACGGCCGCATCGTTGTTCGTTTCGCGGCCGCTGAGTCGCATGGACCGCAGAGTACGATGACCGTGAGGATCCGATGAAGCGGACCTGCCGGACCCTGCCACCTGAGCACCTGAGGTGCAATGCACCTATAGGAAGTTTCTCACAAGTTTGCAAGGCCATTGCCATTGCAGTCATCAGTCTTTCAAACGACTTGGTGAAACTTCCTAGACCTGAGAGACACCTCCTGCCACCTAGACCTGAGAAGCAGACTGCGGGTTTTCACCCCCGAGCAGCGGACGGCGCGCGTGGGTTCCACCTGGCAAGGCAGCATGCTTAAGAGCTCTGCGTGGCTTCTCACCTTTTTCGAGCACCAGATGCTGCTCGGATGATGATGGCATTGAAGTCCGACGCCGAAGCTCTCAGCTTCACTTCCAGGCAAAACAAGTCACGCTGGACGTCCAAGCTGTCGGGTGCCTCTGTGTTTCTTCGTTTCACGACGTCGTGAAGGTATCAGGCGAACGAAACACCGACCGCTTTGCGATAGCGGCAGCGTAGGTCCATCCCCATCGAGCCTCCATGTCGGCCGATGTCCAGCCCCCCCCTGTGATGTCTAGTCTCGGTCCGGCAGGGTGTCTTCTTTTCGCAAGAAGAGCATCCGATGCGTGCGGCGTTTTTTTTCTTTTTTTTTTCTCTTTTATTTTTTTGATGTGTAGAACGGGCACCCTTCCTTAAAACCTCTCTTCAGACAAGCAAAGGGCACCCTTGTCTGGTGCTTTGGAATTCACCGGATGGTGAAGTAGTTTTAAGTTTTAAGACTGTTCTGATCCTTGTTGGCGACTTGTTTGGAGGGTCTAAAGAGGGGGGTGAACATTTCTTGAAGGTCGGGCCAAACATGCAGTTTGAGGGACACCAGACACCAGACTTGCTTTCCGGTTCATTCTTCCACACCAGGTGTTCCAAGAACCCCAGGAGCGGGAGTCTCACCAAGATGCTGAAACTCGGCAGCCGATCCCGAAAGCATCCGCGTCTCGGCTTTCATGTTCCCTCTCCCCTAGGGCTCCAACCACCTCCTGAGAAGATGGTTGGGGTGGGTTTCGGGGGTCTAACCACCTTCTGAGGAGATGGTTGGAGCCCTAGGGCTCGATCACCAGTGAAGACTCTCACAACCCCCGAGCCGCTCGTCCCTGCCGCCCTCGGTGTCGTGCGCTTTGATGTTGGGCGGAGGTTGGTCCTCGAAGCCAAACCAATTTCCATCACTTGGTGAAGCTTCATGGTCACCGCCCCAAACGTGAAGAAAACAGGCCCAGCTGCCAGCTGTGAGCCCCTCCACCCTCCACCTCCGAAAGCGCTGTCGGTGTAGCGCCGACCCACCGACCCGTCTCAGACGTCCTTCGCCGAGCTCGGCGGCCAGGACGGCCATGGCGGGCCTGGAAAGCCTCTGCTTCGAGCCGGTGGGCGAATCCACGGAGGTCCTGCGCGTGGCGCGCGTGGTGCGTCGCCGCGCGCGTGCGCGTGTTCGACCTGTGGAGGGCTCCACAAGTATCTTCGGAGAAGCTACGATTGTAGATTTGGTAGGGACCACTGTGCTGATGGCCAAAGACCGTCTCTGAAAATTTGTTCATCTTTCAGATGTTATTTGCTTTTGTCAAGAAGACCATCAGAGGTTGAAGGACACCCAAAAGCCCAAAAGACTATCCCAGTTGGGTGCCCCAGTCACAAAAAGCCTCGCTATCATGTCAGAGGTATAGGCCAGGAGTCACATGTCGGGGTGCTATCCATGGAGGTAGGAGTTGGGTGCCCAGCGCCCCTCCACGGCCCCTGGATGGGACGAGCCACACCAACCCCGTCCCGTCTTGTGACTCCTACTGTGACATTGGGCATCCTCCGTGTCTCGGCCGCGTGCGTTCGCACAGGCGAAATGGCTCTACCAGCCAGGCCGGGGGGAACCTCCGGTCGTGGATTCACGACCCGAGAGAGTGGGGGCAGAGACGGTCAGAGACGGTCAGAACCCTTCCTAGATCTTCTCACCATTCCCCTGATCAGCCTCTTCTTCGACTCCGAAGTCACGGGAGCGACAGGAGTCGTAGCTGTTTTTACAGCCGTCCAGCCACCCTGGCTAGGATGGGGTGGCTTGACCCCCTGGGCTAAAACGCATTCTAGCCAGGGGGCCGACCCCATTTTGGGGCTGGCTAATTTGGATCATCATGGATCATGGAGCTAGACCCTGGTAGGCTAAAATGTTCAACAGATGTTGGACCCCATCATTCTAGCCAAGTCATTTTAGCCACAGTGTCTTTTTTGAAGGCTTAGGCCAACACCAGTCAATAATACTAACAGAGGTCGGACTAGGTCATTTTAGCTGAGTCATGTTTACTAGGTCATTTTACTTGGATAATCTTGGATAACGGTTTGTTTGGCCAGGGCCACCAAAACCACACCAAGAGAACCAAGTTCACAAACCCATGGAAGTTTTCTTGGCTGCAGGTAAGGTCTTAAGCCCTAGCTTGACTTTGAAGGTTGCCCCCTACCACACTAGCTGAACAATTTGCACAGGTTTCAGGTGGAAGCGCATCAAATCCTTCCACATTGCTGGATGATGACAGCTGAATAAATTGATTCTTTTTGGGTGTAGCTGGACAGCGCAGAGAATTATCTGCGTCACAGTTTAGCTACGGCCGGGGGGGTGCAAGCGGGTATGGGGTTGGATTTTTTTGCGCTCCTTTTTGGCAGGGCAAAACTATGGGCAATTTTTGCCAGCTTTGCTTGCCCTCTGGGCGGCCCCATCCACAACTGGTAGGGGACCAACACAATTTTTTTTAGAGGCGAGTGCAGCAGGACAGCGCAGAGGAGTATCTGTTTCAATTTTTGGCTACGGCCGGGGGGGGGGTGCAAGCGGGTGCGGGGTTGTAATTTTTGCACTTCGTTTTGGAAGGACAAAACTATGGGCAATTTTTGCCGACAATTTTAGCTTACCCTTTGGGGGGCGCCGTCCACAACTGGTAGGGGGACAGCCCGAGATTAAATTGATTCTTTTTAGGTGTAGCTGGACAGCGCACGAGTATTTTCTATTTTTGGCTACGGCGGGGGGGCGTGCAAGCGGGTACGTTTCTTTTTTTTTTTGGGCGCCCCTTTTTGGAAGGGCAAAACTATGGGCAATTTTTGCCAGCATCTTTTTGCGGGCCGTTGGGGGGACGATGTCCAAAACTAGTGATAAAACAGCCGGGTCTAAATTGACGCGCTTTATTTTTTCTTTGGCGCGTGGTCATGTAATTGCAATTTTTCTCGCCAAGTTTTGGCGGCCCTGTCGCAATTCCGCCGGTAGTGTTGCTGAAGTGGGCTTATTTTTCACGGTTTCTTTGGATGGCCACCAGAGATGGGCGGACGGACTGTAGGTTCACAACGTTTGTGAAAATGGGCACCGGGGTATCAAGACCACGTGCGGTCATTGAAGGCGATGCGCCTTATGCTGTGAAAACCTGCAAACATTTCAACGCAACAACAGTAGAGCGCAGAGGAGCGATCTTTTCCAGGAGCATGTCTTCACCGGGATGTTCTTGGTTGCCCACCCAGCGCCAACCTGAGCACGGCGTGGGTTTCATATAGTTTCCTGCTCCGGCCTTCGTCGCTCTAGGTTTGGTGTTTGGCCGCATGGTGGGAACTTCAAGCAGCGGCTTTGGATGAGGAGGCGTGGGGTGAAAAGAGTGTTCCTCATGACATTCTTTTTCATTGTTGTTTGATATGGTGTTCGCTTTCGATGTGGCGTTCGAGGAAGCTGCTCTGCACGAGGACAGGCTGTTTCATGTTGCGCGCGTCTGCGATGGCGCCACCTCTGTTTTCTAAATTGAATGTCGTGAGTGTCCGATTCTGCGATTGTGCAGGCGAAGCCAGGCCATTTGAAGACGCTTCGCAAGACGCGGCCTCAGATTACACGCTCAAGCATTATGGTGTCACGGTAGAATCACGTCGTTTGGTTCCTTAGAAATCAGAATTTGGAATTGGCAGGCCACCGAGAACGACATTCCAGCTCGCGTCTCAGCTACTTTCCCTGACGCTCGATAAAGTCAAATGACTAAGCCTAAGCATGATTAAGCGCTAAGCTAGTTTCTAAGGCCGAGCTTACAGAGGAGGACTTGCCGATTCTTGCACACTCCAAAGAAATTTGCTCGAAGCATGTGTTCGCAGGAGTTGGACTAGCTGCAGAGCGGCGTGGAGGCATTCACAGGAAACGTTTGCTTTGGTGGTTTGGCATTTGGCAGGTTGCTTTGCAAAGTTCATTGACTGTCTCAGCAATTGGCGCCCGCTCCAGGTTCCAAACTCCGGCGTCCACTTGAAACAGAAGAAGGAGAAGAAGGTGTGGACATCCGTGGATTTCTTAAGTGTTCTGTGAGCCTACCGCGGTCAAAGCTCGTCGGGCCGTTCACGTTTCTCGCTGAGGTCTATCCACCCTCTGCCTACGTTGCCTTTTATGAGGCGTCGCTCTGTCGGGCCAGGGTTCACCGGTGGAAGTTTGCGTTTGCGCTTGGCAGGCGCGGCCAAAGAAGAAAGCGGAAGCTACCAAGGCAAGATTAGGACCAGGGCAATCCAAAAACGAAATACGTTACTTTTCAAGAATGTCACTGCAAGCTTGTCATTTGTAGACAAAGAAGAGCAAGTCCAAAACAGCTACGGCCTTAGTTGCGCGAAGGGCTCGCTGTAGTGCATGTCGACAAACCTCAAGTCTCATCCCAGGCGATCCGCAGATCTATCGTCGCCGGGGGCTTTTTTCCCCAAATAGTGCTCCGCGCTAAGGGGTTCTTACGGTAAGAGTTAAGCGGGTTTAGATCAGGGTTCGCGCGTGTGGCCCCGGCATTTTGCGTGGGCCGGCTCGCACAAAAGTTACTTTTTGAATTCCTCATGTCCATTTCGACTGCGCAGGCTCGCATAAAGTGGGGGCCGCGGTCTTCGTGCTTGCGGGACAAAGCTCTCGTGCAGGTGCCGTGCTCGTTTTCGGACCTGAAGTGAATTTCGCGTGGCAGGCGCAAGGAATTCGACACATTGGAGCCTCGAAAAGGTCATTTTACGTGGCAGGTGCAAGGAATCGGAGACTTTGCAAATTTCGTGGCAGGCGCAGTGTTTTGTGGACGTTGCAAAAACGTTGGCAGGCGTGTGTCATTCGCAGATTCGCAGGACCGCGTTTCACGTGGCAGGCGCAGGGAATCCGCACCATGGATGCGATATTTTGAGGTGAAACGGCTGAATTCGTGAGAGGGGTCGAATTTTGGACTTTGACCTTGAGGATGATTTTGCGTGGCCAGCGCAGCATTTCGTATGACCTGCAGGCATGATTTCGTGGCAGGCACAGCATTTCTGAAACGCATTTTAAAATTTGCGAAAGCCTCGTGCAATTTGCTCATTTGGATCTCCGATGTGCAGAGCTCGTGGCAGGCGCAGCACTTTGTGAATCTCGATGTGCAGATTTCGTGGCAGGCGCAGCGCTTTGTGACTCTCGATGTGCAGATTGCGTGGCAGGCGCAGCACTTTGTGAATCTCGATGTGCAGATTTCGTGGCAGGCGCAGCATTTTGTGAATCTCGATGTGCAGATTTCGTGGCAGGCGCAGCACTTTGTGAATCTCGATGTGCAGTTTTCGTGGCAGGCGCAGCACCTCGATGTGCAGAGTTCGTGGCAGGCGCAGTACTTTGTGAACCTCGATGTGCAGATTTCGTGGCAGGCGCGGTAGATTGTGAACTTCGAAATGCTCCTATGTACTCGCCTATGTGCTTTCAGATTTGTGCTTGTATGTGCTCTCACATTTGTGCTCTCAGATGTGTGCTCTCATGTGCTCCCATATGTGCTCCCATATGCTCTCGTATGTGTGCTCTCATTTGTGCTCGTGAATCTCGATGTGCAGATGTTCTTGAAGGTTTTTGAATTTCAATGAACTTGCCGTTTTGGAAGTTGTTGGCTCGACCACCACCGTCAGCGCCACCTTCACCACCGCCAGTACCATGACCATCACCACTACCACCAGCACCACCACCACCACCACCACCACCACCACCACCACCACCACCACTTTTATGCTTCCGCATCTGCTGCTCTCATCTGTGCACTCTCACATTTGTGCTCTTGTATGTCTCCTCTCATATTTGTGCTTTCATCTGTGTGCTCCTTCTTTCCTTACGTGATGCCATGTTCCATCTGTTCCTCTTTACACTATTTGGGGTCCCTTGCCGGTGTAATTTCGTGCTATGCGAACCTGTTTGACTAGTGAAAAACTGCTTCAGCTTTGAGTTGGTCAGCCATGCCATGGGCTCACAAAGTCTTCCACACAGCCACTAACTTGCAACCAGAACAATTAGCAGTTTGCCAGTGTCCAACACCCAAAGAGGATAAAATGAGGTGGGCCGACGTTGACTGGTGTGTCCAGGGGTGGTTTGCCCTCTCCATTATTGACCCTGGGAGCTCAAGACCCCAGCATGTCAAAGTGTATATATGGTTGGGGTAGTGAGCGTTTTATCTAGGACAATCTAGGGTTTGGCTAAAACGGACCAAATCAAGCTCTTTGTTGGGTTCCTAGATTTTATCTAAGGTTTGGTGGCTAGGATGCGGTTGGGCACCCCAATTAGCCAGGGTCCCAACCCCATTGGTGCTGCCCAGACGACTATTTTTTACTTTTCCATACATTTCCTAGGGTGAGTGGCTGGAACGGGATAGGTGCTGACAGGCAGATAGAGAGAGATTAATAGGTATAGGTATAGATAGCCTGTGTATAGAGATATGAGTCAGGTTTCGACTAGTGACTAGTAACTAGTAGATAGATGAATAGATGTATGGATAGATGTACGGATGGATATGGATAGACAGATAGACAGATAGACAGCTAGATAGCCAGATAGCTAGATAGATAGGTAAAAGATAAGAATTGGTAGACAGTGACGCGCCTGTGCGAGGGTTTCCGGTTGAGGAAGCAGATGGCAATGGCAACGGATATGCGCACATCTCCATGAGGATGTATAGGTTGACATACTACAGTGGTTTCAGAGTAGATTGATGGTCCGGAAAGACCGCTTTCTGGCCAGGACAGGGCTCCTACAGAAAGGTGAACAGCTATCAGCACGTGGGCGTGGGCAAAGGCGGGCCGGGCTGGTTTTGGTGAGGCGATGGACTGGGACTGGGCGGGACTCAGTGCTGCAGGGCTCGTCCGATCTGAAGGAACACCGACAACGAACACCACCTGCAGGGGAAATGCGGGCGGTGCGGGCAATGCGGGTGTTGAAGTGTATGAGTTGTTAGCACATGGCCACTGGCAGCGTCTTTGGACATGGCCACTATCTGACCTGGTGAAGCCTTGGTTGAAACGGTTCTGCTCAACGAACTGGGTTCCACGAGTGAAGATGGACACATGCTCAAGCATCTTAACACCAGCAAACACGGTTGGAAAAAAAACGTGGGAGACGGCTGGGTCACCCACGGCCATGTCCGGCGAAATGCGGGCACCATGCGGGCCCCCCCCCCCTCCACCAACTGTTGTCCTGCTGGCCAGCGTTTTCTTCTCCTGACCTGTTACAGAAGATAGGAAACCCATGAATGGGCGCAGTCCTCCATCTGGTGGCAGAAATCCCCCGCATGGCCTCGACGTCCACGACATCCAGGAGACTTCATCAAGGAGGATGGCTTTTATGGAGGTGAGTGGGTCCCTGTAGGCAAGGGCAGCGGATCCTTCATCAGGAGCGACACCGCCGCGACGGCGCGACGTCGCGCATGTGCTGCAGAACTCTTCGGGGGGGCCAAGTGGGGCGATCAGGAATGGTGGCAGGATGGGAGGAATGAGCTCCTTCTGTGGGGGTAGAGATTTGTGAAGCATTGACTCAATGACCCGTTTGGCCCCATCGCATCCCCAAGTAGTCGCTTGCAGCATTCTTCCACTCTAATAACGACCAAGCAACCGCATCAACCTCATCAACAACCCCAAAACCAATCCCTTGAAACTTTGGCCCCCCCAACCTTGCCCCACCTCGTTTTGGAGGACACCTCAGTGAAAAACACCGGGGACCTGAGGCGGTCGGACCTGTTCGGTGGCTTGCAGGATCCAGACGTATCAGCACGTGGGAGAGGGCCTAGGCGCGGTGGTCGGTGCCGACCAAGGAATCATGATTTTGGGCTCATGTTCCAGCACGGCTGGGTGAGATAATTAGTTGTCCAATTTCTTCCCCAGCCAATATACACTAGCCTTCCAGCTGCCCCCATGCGTGGCCATCACATAAAACCATCAAAACCCCCTCTCAAAACTCTTGGCTCGTCCTTCAGAGTGGTGGTTTATAACAGGTTTATAGCAGTTTCTACCAAGACGGAGGCATCGCATCGGCCCGTCGCCGTCGCCCCGTTAAAGGGCCGTGGTTCCGGTCGGAGTCGAGACTTGGAGGTTTGGAAATCCTCCCAGGACATGGACGTCCGGAAAGACCATGAAAAATCCAAAAAAAAGGGGGAAGGACCTGGGTTTTGGCAGGTGGACACATCCTAAAGTTGATTCGGGGCCAGGAAGCCTATGAAATGCCAGGAAGCCTAGGGCACCCACCCAGCTGGACCGTCTTGGCTCGCTTCAAAACGCGCCGTGCTCGACGGGTGTTGGGGACCAGGTCAGACCCGGAACGGGTCCTGAAACACCTCTGTTGCCAGGTGACTACGACAAGGAAGAGATCACCAGCTATTCGGCCTGGCGCCTGAGGCCCAGCTGCGTGGTGCTCTTCTCGCTGATCCTGCTGGGGCTCGTGGCGCTGCTAGCGCCTCGGTCTGCCTCACTGGAGGTTGGAGGAATTGAAACATGGGGCGAAGACCGGGCAAGTTCTGAATCATGCGGCTGAAGATAGACCCAAGTTCCATAGGTTCATATAATGCTAAGGGTCACGCTCCTACCAAAACGACGCCGGGCGACCCAGGACGCTCCTACCATGCGACCGCCATCGGACTTCTGGGGCACATGACCCACAGCTATATCCCAGACACTCCATGGGACTGGTAGATATGCCGATCAGTTGGGGGTGGTTTGAGGGGTCAATGTAGGCATATATGGCACCCATGGAGCGTCTGGGTATGGGTTTGAAATGGGTTTGAATCTAGGGAAACCCATATGGAACCGCCCCTCAAGCCCCGGAAGAGGAAGCATCGACTCCTCAAGCCCCGGAGAGGCTGGGTCCACTCTCCAAACCGATGCAAGCGTTGGATTCGGTGACCCCGGAGAGGCCGCACCAACCACCGTCGAAGAGATCCGCGCGTGGTTCGAACGACCGGAGGGATGGTTCGGCGAGAGGTAGCGGAGCGTCGCCTTGTTTTGTCGCGATCGGCACCCGAAGACCGTGTAGAACAATAAGACCTGGTGGTGTAGTTCAAAGGACTTGAGTCAATCAAGGGTTCTTCGGGATTGGAACCATTAAATCCATATGGTGGGCCAGGAATTTCGGTGGTTTCTTCGTGTTTCTGCTCTTTGGGAGCCTGGGCTCAACGATCGTTGCTACCTTCTGCCGCGGCTCGACGTCTCTGTCGGCGGCTCTCCAGGCCTTCATGTCCTTCGGCAGCGGGAGCGCGTGGGACACGTTGAAATCCAATGTGGGCCTCCAGAGCTACGACTGCTCCGCAGAGTTCGAGCAGTGGCGAAATGCCTGGAGCGAGGGCAAGTGCCTTGGGCGGCGAGTGTGGGCGGTGAGTGTGATTTTGACTGCGGAGTGGGGGAGTGGCGTTCGATTTTTACCTTTTTCGGGTTTGGAATAATATTTGGGATCGGAAGCTTTCCAAGAAAGTCCCTGAAATCATCATGGTTACGTGCATGTTTGCTGGCTAAGTCGCAGTCTTTGATGTTCATCTCATAAGGCCATGGCATGATTGCGGTGAACATCATTTTCTGGTTTCCAGGTACTTGTGCAGAACTTCTTGGTTTCAGCAGTGTGCTAAGATTGCTGGGCGCGCGACATATCCAATATCATCCAATGGACACTTCCTGAAGCGCATTGTAAAAGATTTACCTTCTGTTGTAGAATTCAATGGCATCATTCTGTTAACAATGCAATTAGTCCTATATATGTTTATTGCTGAACCAATAACAATACAGCATCAATTAGTTACCAAGGCTATCATATTGTTCCTATGTTTAGTTGACTACAGACGTTAAGTGCTGCCAGCTCTCCACTCGCGCTGGGCTCGAGGAGACAGTGGTGCTGCCGGACCGCCAACCGCGGCTGCGCCGCGACGCACAGCTTCGGCGACCGCAGCTCGCAGGACCTCTACGACTGCAACTCCAACGTCCAGGAGCGCGTGGAGTAGAGCCTAGGTGAGTGACCTCTGCTTTTGATGAGATGTGAATGAGAAAGAACATGGGGGTGGTGGGTGGTAGGAAGATAGAGGTCATGTTTGGGCTCCAGGTGTGTCATGTCTGCGAACGGTCAGACGTGGTGGAAGAAGACCAGGGTGGGGTAACTCTTGGTGTGGCAATCGTGGTGGCGGAAAGCAGGTGTTGGGCTGGGCGTCTAAGAGATGTTTGAAGAGAAGAGATGCCAAAGGGGTGTGGCCCTTCCGCGTGGAGGTACAGTAATGATCTCTGAAAGATCTGAATAGCAGTTACGTTAAACTTAGTTAATTCTGCAGAAAACAAATCACCAGGCTCCAAACCAGCTCAGCTGGTGCGGATCCCAGTTATCAGCCACTGTATGGATTAACCAGGATTTCTGTGTAGGTCTAGGCCTGAGACCGGGATGGTTTCTTCTTTTCAGCACCCGAACCGTCCGGGAACCCCGGATTTCAGACATCGTCCGGGGGGGTGTTCTCCGGTCTATCCGGCATGTCCGAACCTTCTGGTGGCGGGGGCATTCGATTGTCGACGGCTCTCATCGTCGATGGCCCTGCCGAAGTCCGCGGACTTGTGATACATGGTCGATGGATGTAAATGGGAGATGTACCGATACACCCGGCAAAAGTAGAGTCGAACTGAACATATTCAGGATAAATGGCCATGGGTTTCTGTAGTTGACCCAACTTGCAGAGATCCCGGCCGAGGGGTGCGTTCTTTGAGTGAAGACGGAAGTTGGGGACGTGCATTGGAGCATATATGGAGGTGCTTGATGTTGTATTTCCCCCAACACTTTTTTAAGTTAGGGGTTCTTTGAAGTTCCTTCTTCGTTCAGAAACAAGACACTGGCCACAGTCTTTGGATGTCTTTGGCGGTGCCCCCTGAAGTCTACCCTGGCACTACTAGAGAAGTTGTTGTTGAACTTGACTGGCACAGTGGGACCAGTGGGGAAAAAGCCAGACTCTGCAGTCACGCCACGCTACAGTCACCACTTCACTCTTGCGTTCGCGCCGCTGCTGGGTGAACTCATCCTCTCATCCGCTCCTTTTCATCCCCTTCTCCGACCGGGAACCCTCACGGCACGGTCGGAGAAGCTTTCGTGCAGACCTGGCGAGAAGCCTGGACGCCGGGGCAGAAGCTCTGGTGCTGCAGCGTCTACCACCGCGGCTGCGAAGCGCCCCACCAGGCCGGGAGGGGAGCGGCCGCGAGGGACGGCGAGGCTTCAGCACGGTGGAGAAGGGGACGAGGCCGAGCTGGAAAGGTGGAGACAGTGGAGAGGCGAATGGAGGGGGCCGAAGGTGGAGGAGGGGAATTGCGGGTGAGCTGGTACCGGTCCGCCTCTGCCCAAAACAGCCAAAACAGGGTGGCTAAAACAGCTGACATGGCTGTGTCAAACTCTTCAGGGTTAAATCAATCACCTCTGACTTGGTGGGGACGGAGTCTTTTTTGGAAGATCCTTTGGACCCCGGGAGGGACGTGTTTTGTGGCTTTTGTGGTCCTATTCCATCCTATTTGTTTTGCGAAGTTCACGACCTGGAGATCTTCCCCTACAAGTCAAAGACCTCATTTTACTGGAGATGGTCATACAAAACCAATACTTAAGGAGGTAAAAGACCAGGTTCTACTGGGTCAGACTGGACTTGTAGGGTTCCAGAACATGCCTCATCTCATCGATCTAACCGATGCAATTCTGTCCCCCTACAGGTCCAGACCTGACCCCAGGACCCCCAAACCCGGTCCTTAAACCGGTCAGTGTGACCAGCTGGAGGAGCTCCGGAGCTCGGGTCGCTTCAGAACGAACGAACAGCACCTTTCACCCCTACGAACTCTTCGACCAGCGGCCGTTCTTGGGATCCATTCCAACAGAGGTTTTTCAGGACTCCTTCACGTTCGACCATCCCAGTTGGGTACCCCGAACGTAGGGTTCTGTAAGGTCACGTTCCACCTCTCTTGGTTGTTCTCCCACTTTCCCGCGCCCGCTGGTCGAGCGCCGAGCGCCCCTCCTGCCAGGGCGGGCCGGAGGAGGGCCTCTACAACTGCCGCACGGGGGGATCGCCCTCGGTGTGGACCTTGTCCAAGCAGCACTGGTGCTGCCAGAAGACGGGCATCGGCTGTGCCTTGTCCGGCGAGAGACACGGCGAGTCAACACGTCGTCGTTCTATACGTCCTGGCGGCGGTGAACAACGGGTGGTCGGGAGGTGTCGGGGGGCGGAGATCGGAGTGGGATTTGGCTCTTGCTGGCAGCGGGTTTGGCCGCGGTGGTCGTCGGTTTGCTTTCCCCCCCATCCGCACGTCCCAGGTAACCTGGCCACGCACGGCCCGGGCGGTGGAAGCCCGCCGGTGAGCTTCAACTGCCACGTGGAGCAGGTTGGCCAATGGTCAGTGATGAAGAGAGGCCTGGCAGGATTGGTATCACAGCTTTGGGTCATTTTGGTCAAGGAAAACAGGACGTTTTGGATGGATTTTCACCCACGGCAGGTGCACCGAACTGTGGGAGGGTCATTTTTTGGGGGTTCGCCCCAAGAAAGAAGGGGCAATCTGTGGTTTGCAGAGCGTTCATGTCCCTCCCCCTTCCTCTCACCGGCTTCGCTGTGCTTTGGCTTGCTGGCTCGCTGGGATGGGGCAGGGCGAACCGGAGCTCGATGGTCGCAATGGCCGACAGGTGCCTTTCTTCCACCGGCACCGCAGCGTTTCTGACCACCGGTGTCCGAACAAACACCACGTCGACGTGGTGGAAAGGGCTTCGGCCGGTGGAAACCGGGGTTCGCCGGGTTCGCCCGTGCTGGTCTTTGGTCCGGGGGGAACACTCAGGGAGTCAGAGCAGAACCCAGAAAACGCTTCGGAGTCACATGGACTCACGGACTCTTTCTTTCCTCAGAGAGGCCGGTCGTCAGGTCGCTTTGGAGCCATCCTTGGATGGCGCCGGTCCACCAGCGCCGCCGCCGGGGCTGGTGGGCTGGTGGTTGAAGATGTGGAACGTTCATGTGACATTTCAAGAACAACCTCCCATGTCGAGGTCACTTGGCTGGTTTCGCCCAAAGGCCCACTACAAACTCTCCGGGACCTTTATTGGACACCAGGTCCATTCCATTCGGAGTCACATGGACTTGGGGTGGTTTCATTCGTCCCATCTGGCAGTGGATCATGGGCACCCCAAGCTCTGTAACTCCTGGTTGAAGAGACTCCTGGCGCATCGAACCCCAAAGACTCCATGGGACTGCCAGGACGGACTGCCATATACATTGACCCCTCTGGCACCACCACCCCAGGCCGTTTCTCCGCAGTCCGGACTGGCAGTCCAGACGTGTCGTGTCTTCGGAAGGGTTCATGTAGGTCGTCCTTTTTGCCTCACCATTGCGACCTCACGTCCTTCCGGCCCAGGACACTGGTGCTGCGCGCACCAGAAGCTCGGCTGCGCACACGCGGCCCCGCGGCCCGCGCCCCCGGTGCATGTGTCGCACTCGGAGCCCTTTGATTGCATGGCGGGCTTCTTGAATTGGCAGCAGGCAGCGGGGAGGAAGGTGTACCTTGCGGCAGGTATGAGAGTGGGCGCTGAAAGGAGGGTCTAGGTCCATGGGGCTGGAGGATATGGCGGGGTGGGGGCGGCAATGACGAGTAGGTTCAGATTCGCAGGCCAATAGAAAACACATGAAAACACTTCAAGGCAAGTTGTGCATGATTGTGCACGAGCACTCCAGGCTTTTGCTGCACGTTGAGATCCACTGCTTGGCTTTTTTTCCGCCGAGTCATTTTTGGCTCCTGACATCGTCACAAGCAACAGTGTGCTAAGCACCAATCTTCTGGATTCAGGGGATGACGATGCGAATGCCTGGATTATTTTTTTGGTGTGTACACCCTAGACTTCCAAGACCATTAAGGCAATGGTTGTTGTTGGAGTCCTAGGGTACAGTGTAAAGAATTGGGAGACCAAACCGCAGGCGTTTGGAACCTAGACCAGTCCACCGTTTGCCAGGGGCGATCGGGTGTCTCCCCAACAGACACCCATAAAGGAGTATAAACCGGAAGGCTCCCACACATCGCCAGCAAACTCCGCCATGAGCCGCCATGATCGGGTGTTGCTGACCATCGGCAACAACGCGTACCCCTCCTGCGGGGAAGAGTGTCGATGGCCCCTGAAGGGGGCCGTCAACGACTCGCACGGGTTTCGCGATCACTGTTGGGATGAATGGCTTGTTTTCTCGGCACAGGACCTGAGTGATGCCGATCATTTTTACCATTGGGCCCAGCAGGCGAGCAATTCAATCATGGCAACTACAACTGTAGTGTGTTTTCAATACAGCGGCCACTGCCGTGACCAAGATGGACAAGCTTGGCTGATTCCATGTTCTCAATGCTGCTACTGTACGCAGGGCAAAAAGGAGGAGGACCATGCAAACCTCCAGACAATCCTAGAGCATTTGTGCAAGAACATCTCGCGTGGTACGAAAGTTATTGTGCTGATCGACGGGTGTCGCGTGGAGGAAGGCCAGCAGCAGCATGACCCAATTCGCCACGAGGGTGTGTTAAGAAATAAGCAGATCTTGCTGGTATATGCGTGTCGCCGTGGTGCTATGGCCCGCGAATATACCAACACGGATGGTTCTGTCAATGGGCTTTTCTCTTTGGCCCTCCTCAAGTGCATGCAGAGCTGTGACACTTTGCCCACATTACTTGACAAAGCTAAGGAAACAATGAGGAATCTGGACCGTTTGGTTGGAGCACAAAATCCTTCTATACCACAAAACGATTTCCAGGGCTACTCCACAACCCCAAACTTCTTCAAAGCTGATGTGCATGCATACCGCAGGATGAATCTTTATTCCATTGTGTGTGAGTTTATTCTTTGCTTAGCTGTGGCAGGCATGTGTTTGCAAAACGTGGCGGGAAGCATTAAGGATGACTTAGAAGCGCTTCAAACATCAATGGGCTCAATCGAGATGAACTTGGCGGACTCCATACTCAACAAGGCCAAAAACGAACGCCAGCACTTTGAGAATCGCTATGAGGAAACCCAGAAGAAGTTGGAAGAAGCAAAAAAACGGATAAGCAGTTTGACCTCAGAAAAAAGGGAGTGCGAAAATCTGACCACGCAGCTGAAAATAAACCTGGAAAGCCTTTCAGAATCTTCCGCTGAGTATTCTAAAGTCAAAAAGCAGTTGGATGAAGCTGAGACCAAGATCATCGACCTTACACAGCAGATCAGAGATACAACAGATGAGAGAGACCAGTTGAACAGCAGTTCCACTTTCTTCAAGCAAGAGCTGGAAAAGGCAAGGGAACGGCTAAAGAAGGCATCTTTGGAGCACGCAACGTTGCAAAAACAAAATCTTGGTCAACATCGATCAATGCGGGAGATGAACTTGACGTTGCAGATCCTGACAAAGAATGTTGAGCGTCTCAACAAGCAGACTTTGGACCATGCACTATGTGAGGAGACAAAGGCAGACATGCAAAGGGAGCTAGACCAAGGGCAGCAAAAACTTCAAGAGTTGCAAGAGGCACTCAACCAGCAGAAGGGCGATGTTGAACAATACGACTGGTCAATGTGCAAACGACTTTCTAGATGGTGTGAAAGGTGGATGTCAACTTGATACCTGCATCTCTGAACATCTCTTGTTTCTTTTCCAGAGACTTTGCAAACTGTTTGTATGGTGGAGAATGCATGAATCAGCTGCTTCCGGGGACGGTTTCACCTCCAAATTGGTCGTCCCGTTTCAAAACAGTCAGCGGATGGCGACTCTTCCACGGTGACGCGGACCGGCGACGCATGGCTGCGGAGTCGCGAAGTGTCGAGTTTCCCTCCGATTTTGTTCGCGGGCTGCTCGGTGATATTCTGGTAGGTTCAGCTTCATCAGTTCTTCAGAAAAGTATGAGAACAAGTCTGTTCAAGGACAAAAAGAAGCATTGCGCGTTTTCATGTGTTTCTCCCAGATTCGTTGATTGTCTATGATTTGTCGCCGCTGCTTGAACCGACCGCCAACCCGGGAGACAGCGGGAGACCATGGCCCAGTCAAAAGAAATGGATGTTTGTTAAGTATGATTTTCTTGGAAGTTTGGTTGGAAATGGCTGATTGAGAAGTGGATCTTGGAAAGACCCCACATCTCCAACCAACTCCCTAGACATTTCAGTCGTACCGAACCTCAGGTTCGGCACGACTGGACCCGAAACTGGCGCCGTCTCATAACAGTGTCGAACACATCACCTTCTGACAAGGTACTTGGATCTTTAGGGACTATAGAAACTGATGTGCAAAGTCTGTTGGGGAACCCGGAGTGGCCTTTGATGGTGGCCTTGAATGGTGGCCCCCACCGATGCAGCTCCAACATGAAAGGCACCTCAGGCAGGTAGTGTCCCCGGCTCTAGTTCGATTTTTGGGGAAGGTCTCGAGTTGGAAGTTGACGCGCAGAAGGACTTGCTCGGAATTATCTCAGTATAGTATGTTGGTACCGTATTTTGCACCACATCCGTTCATACACTGTCATACATCTCACCTGCTCAATCTTGTTTGGTCTTGTCGTTTCGAAAGCAGTTCAAACCTCGCCCACCTTGCCAGGGCTGGTCGTTGCCGAAGAAGAAGTTCTGCTGCCAGCACCACCACCGCGGTTGCGCGGCACCCCACCCGCATCCGATGCCTCATCCAGTCCCTCATGTGGTGCATCACACGCCAGCACCACACACGCAGCCACCTACCCATCCTCCCACCCATGCTCCCACCCATGCTCCCACGCATGCGCCACAGGCGGGCGTTGTCACGCGCGTGGAATCATTGCGCCGGACTTTGAAGGGAAGCCATTCACCTGAGACTCACCAGAGACCCCTGTTTCGACCAGTTGGACCATATTTTGGGTGGTTAGCATTCTCAGCTTCTACTAGTAGGGGTGGTGTTTAGTCCCTAAGTGAGTGGATAATGGGCACCCCTAACCTCCATGGATAGCACCCCTTTGTGACTGCAGGTAGGCAGATCTTGACATTTCTATACCACCCTCCCTCGGCTGGGCCTCTCCACCTTCTGACCGGAACAACCCACGTCTTAGAGGTTTGGATTGGCGAATCCGCAAATCGCCGTTAAGGCATTTTTATGCATTTTTTGCATTTTTTAAATATTCAATAGTTCTTGAGGTCTTGGCTTGAAGGTCTGACATTGTCAGCTCTGCCTTTTGTTTTCCAAACGGTTTTTTGGGTGCAAAAACTGGGGTCCAAGGCAAATTTGAGGATGTTTTTGAACCCAAAACGCAGCAGAAATCGGTCCTTCCTGAGCTGTGACGGATCGCACCGCCTGACGGATGGATCGCACGCGGACCTCGGCGCGGATGCCGACCATGCAGGAGAGCTGCGAGGGAGATGTTAGGAGCTGGCCCGCCTTGAAGAGAAACTTCTGCTGCATCCACCACCACAAGGCGGGACGGTAGGTGACAGGCTTGGTGGAAAGGTGAGAGGGTTTCTTCTCTCTCATGTGCACACCCATCCAACCCATCCAACCCTCCCTATTGTCCCCAGTCCTTTTTTAGAATGTTTCTGGTGGCCTGGTGCATAGTTGGAGCAAATGTCTCTTTGGGCAGTGTGGAGGAGTTCTTTGATATGTTTCCCTTGAAGCCACGGTAGATACATGGTTCAACATGACTTGTAGCAGATTGCTCATGTAGAACATCCAAAGTCTAAGACATGTTCAATCTATAATCTATCGATTGAATATACAAAACCCGCCGGTGGCTAGTGGTGACGATTCTCTTCAACCTAGGAAGTGTGCTAGTCCATTGTTTGGCCGACAGACCCATTGTATTTTGTGACAGCTTTGAATCGTAGCTCAATGAGGTCAATGGCTGGGGTGGGCTAAAATCCCCATCCTGGATGACATGTGCTGCCATGCAAAAGAACACTTTTTGAAGTGCACAGGACTCAAAAACACGCAGCGAAGTGTCTCACCATGAGACGGTATGGAACAAAGTTAACACATCCTGCTGCTGGCAGTCGCTGGCAGTGGGCTTTTTCAACGAAGCCTACTGCTGCGGCCGCATTTTTTGCTTCGCCACACGGTTCGCTTTTGCCCCCGGCTCGCCTCTCGACGCGTTCAACTCGCCGTGAAAGCACCACGCACAGGGTTGCGTGACCACGGCTCCACCGCCTCAGTGCGAGGCAAGACCAGCCCGGATGAGATCGCGAAGATTCTTTTTCGCCGGATCGACCACTTCACTTCGAAAGATTGGATTCCTGGTTAGTTTACTCTTGACCAAGTTTCGATTTGTGATTAGCTATGATCTTTTGACTGGGGGATAGTTGTATATATGGAAAATATTTTTGACGGAGCAGCTCCAGCAGTGCAGTGCGCGCTGTGGCTTTTGCGCGCGGTGGCTGTGGTGAGGCGAAGTGCAGCGTGAAGAATCAGCTCCACAGCTGTAAAGCGACTCGGGCAGAAGTGAGTGGTGGAGTGAAGTGGCAGAAGTGGTAGTCTATTCTGAGCTAGGTACTAAGACCCCTGGTTCATGGACACCCCTGGAAACCTCTTTTCGGAGCTATATCGACACCCCCGTCGGTACCGGGGGTCGTGGTCGTCGACCTTCTTCTGAGCGACCTGGCTGGTCAACTGGTCGGTTTTTGAGTGCCCTTCTCCAAAAGCACCACTGGCCTGGCCATCTCAAGCACCACCGTGCTGGGCGAAGAGAAATGCGAAGAGAAAGCGGCCGCCAAGTGGTCGTTTTCGGAATGTTTGGTGCTTCATGCCTTTTTGGCCACCTTGGCGGGCGGTCCCCCAAGCACTGGTGAACATAACAGCATAGGGCGTATGAAGGTGAACTCTTCACAACATGTTCACCTGTTCGTCCCATCTAACGAGCTACCGACAGCTCGTTGTGCCGTTGACACACTCGTTGTGCCGTCAGCACCTGTTCTTGTTTAGTGGAAAAGGCCAGTCCCCAAGAAAGGTTGAAGCTTATCCACTTCTCCTGGGTAGGTGGATGATGGCGGATGTACATGTGACCCCCTTGGAACATCTTGGCCGTGGCGCAAGAATTCGGCTGCCAAACCCACCGTTTTGTCGAGTTCGGTTCTTCCTGTGAAAAGTACCTGCGGGACAGACCTTCTGAAAAACACGGAGTGCGGCTTGTCTTGGAACCTCCAAGCTTCCGCAGGTGATCAGATCATATCTCCAGCAGCACAGATGTCGTTGCATTCCTCATGTTCTTCCATCTTTGTTTTCATCCGCGCTCCCGGCCCCCACCCAAACCGCGACGCCCGACGGTACGACCCGCCCAAATCGCGCGACGCCGCATCGGTGGACGACGAGGACCGCATCAACTACACCGCCTCGCACACCTTTGCCCACGAGCACAACGCCTGCGTCAAGGCCGGATCGCGCGGCGCGCCGCGCAGCTTGGAAGGGGAGGCGGACAAGCTCCGAAGGAGGTCCCAAGAAATGAGAGACGGTGAGGTGACGTGAAAAGGCCGAGCAAGAAGCAACGTAGTTTTGGCAGGACAACTCATATTGTAGCTACTTTTAGCATTTTTGTTTAACATGACAGTTGAATTGAAAGAACATGATGGCACAACTTGAAACTTGTACCAGCAGTCACAAAGGGGTGGTGTTTAGTCCCCAAGTGAGTGGATAATGGGCACCCCTAACCTCCATTAAGCACCCCTTTGTGACTGCAGGTAGCGCCCTTTAGCAATATTAGGACGTTATTAGGTTGGAGGCCATCGCTACTAGCAACAAGAAGCATGAGCAGGTCGACTTTGGACATTTACTTAAGCCGAAGCCTCGATAGGTTGGAGGCCGCTATTAGGTTGGAGGCCATCGCTATTAGGTTGGAGGCCATTCCTACTAGTAACAACCAGGAGTCACAAAGGGGTGGTTTTCAGTCCCTAAGTGAGTGGATAATGGGCACCCCTATCCTCCAATAGGCACCCCTTTGTGACTGCTGGAAAATGATCTATTAGGTTTTACTCCTTTTTTTGCTTAGAGACGGGTGGTCTCCACCAGCGCAGCTTTCAGACGGGCGACCTCTGCAGGCGCTGACGATGGTCCATGGCGAGTGCGACGTGTGCTCCGGCTGCACCGTGGAGAACGCGCAGTGCAAGGCGTGGTGGTCCATGCCGTCGTTTGGCGTCGTTGGGCGGGCGGGGCGTGTTGCGGAGGAGGAGGCTTTTGGGACGAAGAGGATGGAAGAGGAAGACGGCCCGAGCCGTGGTGCCCGAAGCCCAAGACGGTCGGCCCGAAGGGTTGTTCCGGGTTCCCTCCGGGAACGTTGTAGGAAAGCCGACCGACCCAGGGCTCCTGGATGTGGAACAGGACCCAAAGGTCAGGTGCAAGACCGAGCGGTTTGCAACATACCAAGAGAGGTTAAGTGACCTTATAGGATCCTGCTGGGGTACCTATGGGATGGCCTAGTTCGGGTCATTCAACCTCTTCTGGTATGAACTGGCCATGAAACAGTTTTTTGCCAGGACCTTCGCAGTGACCCAGAATGAGATCTCAGTGGCGGGTCGGTCACTTAAGACTATAAAGGGTCACTTATCAATCCTGAAGTCAGGTCACTGGGAAGGTCCTGGTGGTGAATCTTTCTTTTGATCCACGGGCAGTGTGGAGGCCTCTTCAGGCTTCTTCTTCCAGTGACGGATCGAACGACTGCAGAACAACTGTTCATCCTTCACTTTCTTTTTCACCTCCACAGCAGCATCACTTATATATATATATATATATGTATATTTTTTTTTGTTTTCGAGTACGTGTTTGCATTCAGGTTCGTGGGTTCCATCTTGTTTGTTCTCTTGACTCTTCATGCGCCGAACGAATCACGTCTGGTGGCAGGGAATGATCAAGGGTTTGGGTCCCTGCCTTTGGCGGAAGGAAAGCACGTCAAGAACTGGACGGTGGTCCCACTCGACGGGTTTGGGGTGCTGAAACAAAATCTTTAACCCAAAGAGATAGATGTCAGTATAGATCCCCGCTGAACAAAACGTATTGGATATCGTACCACATCGTGCCACTATCTCTTTGGGGACTGATTGTATGGAGGAAGTCGGTGGGGTGCCCTGGTCACGTCACATTGACGGATCCATCCTGACGTCCACGTGACCAAAGCACCACCCTGACGTCCATGTGATTTTTGGACATCAGTGTCTCAGTGGAGTCAGCCATTTATGAAAAGGTCTATTTCCCAGACGACACGACACACGACACGACCCATGAGACTGCCAGTCCGGACTGCCGACCAGTTGGGGGTGCTTGATTGAGAAGGGGTCGGTTTGGATCGGGTATGACACCCTATGCCAGTCCCATGTGTCGTGTTTGGGTTTGGGTATGACCCGGGTCCGTTCTTATGAACTGCACCATCCACACCCCCAGGTTGTGCAGCTGACCAATCCAAACGAGCCATGTCATGTGTGACCTCTACTTCGTCGACTCGACCGAGGTACCCCAAATCTTGTCTTTCAACTTCGTCTCACCACAGGGGTCACTAAGACCGCTTTCATACTCCTGCTTCTTCTGTCGAGCAGCTGCACCCGCCCCTCCCCGCCCCTTACCCGCTTTTCAAAACAGAACATCTTCTTCAAAGCTATCTAAAAAATATAGTGTACCGAAAAATACTAGTCTATAATATAATACGACTTTATACTATTACTCTGAATCCTCTTAGAGCAGCGGCAGCTCGGGCGCTGCCAGGCGCTGCCCACCTTCGACTGCGACGCGGCGGTGGCCAACGCGGCGAGCGCGTGGTCCGAGCAGAAGAAGGTGCCGGCGGTGGTTTGGAGCCTGATGGACGGACTTGGGTTCTGCAGCACCGGAGCCCCCTTTTAAAGGGGTATCTACGAATTGGCCTTCTTCAGAGGTGATTCGGGGTCCTGCAAACTGGCAGGTCCTGCCAACTCGCGTGCGATCCACCCCTGACTGCGCCACCCGTTTTCCGCCGGATCGAAGGACCGGCTCGGGCGCCTTCTTCAGCCGGTGCCTTGTTTCGGGCGCGCGTCGGACCGGGCACGACTGCGGAGACCGGTGCCGAGACCCGGCGCGCGCGCGTGCCGACCAGGCGTGGTGCTGTAAGAATGAGATGAAGGGCTGCGCCAGCCACTATGAGTGCGAGAACATTCACGACCGGAGTCGATCTGTTTGTGGCTGAGAATGGGATGAAAGGTCGGGCGTGAAAGGTCGGCCACCAGAGGATGGGAGTTTGTGTGTAAGTAGGGTTCCAAGTACCTTCTGAGAAGGTGTTTGGGGTGGGTTTGGAGGGTCCAAATACCTTCTGAAGAGGTAAATGGAACCCTAGGGTGTGTTGAACAGCACCAGTTGTTTTGGAGTCTCAAGGTGGGAGGCCTCCCCCTGATCAGGCGCTGGCAAGCAGGTTTTGCTGAACATATCGCCTCCAGTTTCGTTGCACGCTCCATTTAAGACTGCCCACGTACAGACACAACATGACACAACATGAACCAAGAGATTTTTTTGGAGCTGGTGTTGCTTCTGTACAGTAGGGCACACCCTTCTATATGCAGTAATCCCTACAAGTCCAGTCTGACCCAGTAAAGCTTGGTCCTTTGTTTCATCGAACAATCTTTCTGTCTGACCAGCAAAATGGAGATCCTTGGCCTGGTAGCTGCCGAAAACACCACCTCGCCTGTGTGTGTCGCAGGAACTGCATAGCTGGTCCTATGCCAAAAAGGCCAGGGCGAAATCCGGCACCACGGAAATGGTGTGCATTAATAGCCCCTTAGAGTCCATTGACCACCCCGACTGGGGGTCCAGGATGATGCGACATGACATCTGTTCGTTGAGATCGGGCGACCGCGAAACGCGGACCACCCGTGCGTGGAAGAAGGTGGACTTGGCCACCGAAAGCGGCTTCCAGCCACGAGGAGTCACGACTTTAGACCTTTCGGAGCCTCTCTACCGGCACGAGAGGTAGCCAGGTCTCCCGGGACCATAGGACCCGTCACCTGGGGTACCTATAGGATAGCCTAGTTCGGGTCATTGAACCTCTTCTGGCACTTTTTCCAACAGGTCACCTCTCTGGAGGTTGTGACTTAGGGCAAGGGTGTGGACTCAGGGCAGGTTTTGGCTTGGCCGCTTCCGGACCTTCGTCCTTCTTGAAAGGCTTCCCCATCGCATTGGGCCCACCTCTACGGGGGACGACCGCGCATGACGAACCCCCGCCGTCTGCGACGACGCGGGGAAGACGACGCGGGTATACGGACAGGCGTGGTGCTGTCAGCACAAGGGCGCAGGCTGCGTTGGCAGCAGCGCCCCCAGCCAGTCGCCGGGCGAGGGTCATGAGTGGAAGCACGAGCAGGCGGGTCATGGGGGGGAGGTGGGTGGGACGTGGTGGGACGTGAGGTGAAAACCAATGGTTGATCTGGGTTTGTAGTCTAAAGTCATCCAAAGATCGATCCTTTTATAGCAAAAGAATGCAAAAGAAGGGTTGTTTAGGAAGACCATGGAAGAATTCTTCCATGGAACACCCCACTCGGATTTCCGTGGAACTTTGGTTGAGTTCAAGACAAACACTATTAACGTACAACATCAATCATACAACACCACAAAATTCAAGAATTTAATATATAGATCCTCATATAATTGAAGTATTTGTAGTCCCCTCCAATACCCACCCAATGCATGTTGTTTAATGTACATTACAGTGTTTTAGTGATATATTAGACCTTTTCCCAAATGGTTGTTTTGAACACTTTCTACATGGGGGCTACCATATACATTTAGATATATTATATAATGGGTGTGGGAAGAACGAAGAAATAAGGCTCCAGTACTTAGAGTGGACTGAGCTGGAGAAAAGTATTGGAAGATTCTGCGAGGACTTTCAGTGGAATCTTCCATCTTCAATCCAGAAAGTACGCGTACCTAGTGGCGTACCTTTCTCTTTCCGGTGCTTTTCGAACAGGGCAGCTGGTGAATCCCCAACTGCAACCTCATGATTTTCCTCATCCAACAGGCATCTTTTCTCCTTTTCAAAGTCGTGATGGAACATCATGGTCTTCTCGTTATCATTCATGATATATATCCTGGACCTTCATGTCGGGGTGTCCGAGATATTTAGGTAGTGTGGCTTCCAGCCAGGTGACTCCGACATGAAGGTGCTTTCCTTATATATCGTATTAAAGGATCAATGATGGTTGTCTTAGTGCCCTTCATTGCTCAGACCGCGTGGTCCGGGACGGACTGTCCCAGCGACCCAGCGTCTTCCCACCGGTGTGAAACAGGTTGTGACACAACACAGATGGTCGCAGGCTCTTTCGGCTTTGTGCTGATTTTGAGGTTATCAAGGCCATGGCCACACGAAAAAAATGGTGACCTGACATGACATCCATGCCAACAACATAGCATGAGCTAACAACATAGCATGCATTTCTGGTCTTTGATGAATTTATTACTCCATCAATATCGTTGCATGCCAAGAGCAACATATCAGAAATGCATGTGTTTTCCTCAAATTTGTGCGATTAAGAAACACGCTTCTATCTTGCAAACATTGGATAATAGGTATATTTAAAGATGTCTACATCAAACTCACCACACATGAGAAACAAAAAGAACGGAATTTGTGAGTTCAATGTTGGGGCATCAATAGTTTAATAATTAAACAACTTTAATATCGGTATTTATCGAGTCCTAAAGTTATTGATGCATATATATATAATATATATATATATCTTTTCACTGTCTATCCTATATCACATTATGATTTTATTGGTATCGTTTTCTAACCAATCATAAGGTGATACATCGGGTAACAACACCTTCATTAGAGAGGCAGCAAAGACGGACACTCATGAGATGGAATTCGTAATCCAGTTTTTTTAAATGTTAATCGGTGAAGCCTGTTCCATTAGAGATCATGCCAAAATGTATCTTTGAGGATCTTTAATGCAATTCAACGGCCATCTTCTCCAAATACAATAAGATATCAATACAAGATTTGGAGAAGATGGACAATAAGATTAGTCCCCATTCATTTAACATGTTTTGATGCACGACGAGTGGCGGGAATGAATAGTATGTACCATTAGATTTTTATGGTAAAGCTAATGGTGCTGTATTGTTTATATTATTTTCAGTAGCAGGATTTCATAAGAGATTTCATTAGGCAAAAGCCTGCATACACCTATTCACTTTCATATGTTTGTTAATGTGCTTTTCTTGACCAACATATCCAAGATAATAAGATACACGAACGCAAAAATGGTCTTGGCTTTTCAGTATTTATTTTTCATCTCTTTTGTCTATTCAGGCCGTGGATTGTCAAGAATACAATAATTTTATATCTACATTGAATATTTTGCACGCAAAGTAAAGGACATAACATAAGAATGCAATATTTTTAATGACCATCACTTCCTTTACTATCATGGACTGTCTTTCCTTTCATAATAAGCACACCAAAAACACCAATGGAATACATATGATCCCCTGAATAATTACTATTCTGTTGTTGTTATATTTTATGGTTTTGTATTTCCTTTTCCAAGTAGCAAACCGCTTTTCATTCATCAATGCAACTCAACCAATCCACAAAAGCACCTGCAATCCATCAGTAATTTGCAACCTATGTGCTTCTAAAACCAAACCAATCGCTGCGCAAAGAATTCCTTTCCATGCATGAAGGGGCTACAAATAGCATTGAAACATTTGTCCATGAACATCCAACTCACTGAACATGCAGATTCTAGACCAACCTGAAAGCCAGGTCTGCTACGACAAGAAGCCTCCAAAAGCCTTCAGAAGACCTGTTGGAGGGTGCTGGTATAGATAGACCGTACATTGTGCATGTTGGAACTGAAGACTCTTGAACGATTACTTCACCATTTTGTTCAGGAAAACAGACCAAAAGGTCCAAAGTAGGCCCAAAGCTCCTCAGTCAAAAGGCAGAACGAAGACTTCATGACCTGAGGCCATTATTACCAGGCGCCGCAGGCCGGTCCTTGAAGAAGAAAAGGAAGACCAACCACCGCCCATCCGACCCATCCGACCCATCCGATCCTCCTTGGCGCTCCTACAGCCCGCCTTGGGTGCGGTGTGCGGTGCCGTGTGTTTCACACCGCACACACCCGGTGTGTGCAACGGTCCGAACCGCGTGGCCGAAACGGTGGTCCAAAACGTCGAGCAGCCAGGTGGACGGCACCTGGACGTGGCTGAAGAAGGTGATCCAACAGGCGGGATGGTGAACGGAGGGCAGGGGGCAGGGGGGCAGCGGGGAGCATGCCAGCGGGGCCGGGGGTGGAAACAGAAAGCGAGATGAGGTGCTTCATTTGTCTTTTAAACTGGTACATATAGTGTGTGTTTTTGGGCTTTTGTAACGGATGACGGATGTTTCTATGGCTGGATTTCTTCCGAGATGGAGGAATTTTGGGTTCGAACGAAGACTTTTTGGGGGGAACCGGGTCGGGCTGTTTTGGATGTTTTGGGAGGAGGGAGATTTGCCAACAGCGTTATGGCGAGGAGAGCGAGCTGCAGGCTACTGGAACACGGTGCCCACGTTTTGGAATTCACAGTGAACCATACCTGGACCCTCCAATCAGGTGTTTCCTGGTGGCCAGAAACCACCTGACTTAGGCTTCTAAAACCGGACTTGGTTGTGGTCCTGGTAGGAAACAACCACTCTACAAGAGCGGGACATCAATGGCTTGGTTGACGGTTTTCGCCGCGCCACAGTGGCGCGGGCTGTGTGGATCGGGGCCTCTTCCGGTCCGGCGGTCTTGGCGCAGCGCTTCGGAGCAGCTGGGTGGAACAGCTCTAACTCAGCGGTCATGGACTCCATGGACCCTTTTGACGGTTTGGACCCTGAGCGGTGCGACAAGGAGGCTGACCTCGGGAGAGCTCAGTTTGGGGTCACCTTTTTCGGAACCAGATAGACACCCAGATAGCACGGTCGAGTCTCAAGAAAGTCGACCACACTGTCACTGAAGAAAACACATCTCCAGCGCCTGAGGATGCCTTCGACCTCCAAGCGTTTGTCGTGGTTTCAAGCGTCATCTCTTCCAACTACTGGTAACTAGGTTGGAGGCCATCGCTATTAGCAGTTGCCAGTTGTCCAGTCCAGAGTTTTGTGGAACTGGCCTGGCCTTAAGGAACGCCCAACACATTCTTACTCCCGCTTGGTCAACCACCAAAAAAACATCAAAAAAGAAGAGAGTTACCATTTGTGATCATACCAGGCCACCCGTCGTCTTAGGGGCTGCTAGATGCTGTGAAGGGGTGTCCCCCAAAAGAAACACACACCCCGACTGACGGTGGGGTCCTCGTGAGAATTGGATTGGATACTCCTTCATCTCGGGGTGTGACTCCTCCGGCGCATCACTGACGGCCGCCCAGCACGGCGCCCCGCCGGTGGAGCACGGCGCGGAGAGCGGCGGGTCCAGCGAGGGAGGCGGGCGGAGGGGAGACGGACCGACCGGAAGGTGGTGGTGGCGGGCAAGCGCAGTGGTCCGAGGGAGGCCATTGGAAACACCCGAATTGAAGTCGAGTCCGGCGATATTTGGACCGACTGCAGTCAAGGACATGCCTAGACTTGGGTCCACCCAGTCAGACCATTCTTTGTATAGTCTTTGACTCCCAGGGCATACCATTTTGTCCTGAGATCGGCCTTAGAACATGGGAGGGGTCTGCAGGAACAAGGGTCCATTCTGTAAGAACATATACACATAGAGGCACCCTACCGGGCTAGGGTGCTTACATCGACGACATGTTCCCATACCCACCGGTGTGACCGGACGACCGGACCGGAAGACCGGTCTTGACCGGGTCGGGTGGAAGGAGCCGACAGCCGTGGCAGGCTTCGATTGCCAGGAGGGGCTTTCGAGCGGCTCAGAGTGAAGCTAAGCTGGGCGCTGGATCGTGGTGGGTGAAGCGCCGTGGATCGTGGATGGGGTGGTTTGCGCCATGGAGTGGCCACAAGAAGCTTCTTCACACGAATGTCCCAAAGGTGTTAGGAATGTGGTCAAGTGGAAGGAATGTGGACTTGAGATGATTGGAGTGAATTCATGTGAAGTCTTTTGCTCTCTTTTACTCCAAGGATTTGTGGACCCCCAAAAACTATAGGTCAAGCAATTTCTAAAGGGGTCTTCTGGGCGACCGGGTCTCACGGCAGGCCTTCCGGGCATTTGTCGCACCAGTCCTGCTCCCATCCTGGGACGGTTCTTGGACCAGCAACTCATGAAATCGCAAGCGACAAGTTGATGAGGATTTTTACTTGCGATTTCAAGTCATGGGGAGACTGGCTTCAGATGTCTTCAATGTTCAACCTGTACTTGGGGACAATGGAAACCACTGACTCAACATGACTCAACCGTGTTTTGTGAGTCTTTGGAGATGGAACCTACTTCTTTGGGATCTCAAGGGCTCCACCACTTGAAATCTGAAGCGATCTGAATTCGTGATGTCCGCAAACCACGAGTGCTGGAAGAGTGACGCAACGAGACTTGGCATGTCTTCCAACGACTCTGGCAGATCACCATCAAACATTATACACTGACCTCATTTTACTGAAGTTGGTTCATACAAAACACTATTCAAGAAGGTTTTCAGGACCAGGTTTTAGTGCGTCAGACTGGACTTGTATACATCATCAAGCATCATCATGACATCATCCCGTCAATCATGACCGCCACAAAACGCTTGCCGTCCCCAAAAAGGACGGGGTGAGAGGGGGCCAAACCCACCCTTCGACCTCCTCCATCTGGGACGGCCGCGCCTGCCACGCCCGCGTGGCCGTGTCCGTCATCACGGAACCTGGAACCGGGTCGTGACCTCTATCCAACAGAGGTTTTTCATGACCCGAAATAGACTATTCCAGTTGGGTACCCCAGGTGACAGGTCCTATGGTCCCGGTCACTGGCTACCTCTCTTGGATTTCCCAGACGCGACCGACGCACGGGAACTGCCGGACTGCCTTCTAAACGGCCTTGATTCTGGTGGTACCAGGGGGGTCGTCTTGGTGCGGCAGAACGATGGCAGTCCCATGTGTCGTGTATGGGTTTGGGACCACCAACCACCGACCCAAAAGGTGGTCCAAGCTTCGTATCGATGGCCAGAGGTCACTCGTGGTTCCAGGTTAACATCACAAAACCTCCCCGCTGTCACTTGGATGGTAAAGCCTTTTAAATCAGCAGTTGACCACTAGAGAATATATTCAGAGTCTATCCCTAGGCTTCCTGGCCCACCCTTAATTCAATAGCCTTTACCGAATCAACTAAGGATTTTACACTACAAACTCCAGGTCGTTCCCATCTTTTGAATGGTCGAACGGAAGTCTAGGGTATTGAACTCTCAAATTCAACAGGGCGGCCTTTGGTGGATTCCTTCGATGGAAACGTCCCCCTCGTAACCACCGGAGCCCTTGGTTGGTGCTGGTACTCTCGGTTGGTTGGTGGGTCGAAGAGGGGAGACTGCAAGAGACCCCATGAGACCCCTGTGGCCTCCACCCTCGATGACCTGGGACCCCACCTCGTGCCCCCCTCCTCTCCCCGGACGACTGGCGGCCAAGACTTTGTCCACGGCTGGGCCAACTCGAAGAAGCACTGGTGCCTCCGGCCTGTCCGAGAGTGGTGGGGAGTGGGGTGGAGAGAGAGGTCCGAGGTGGGGGTGACAGGGTGCAGACCTTGAAACCATGAGGGTGAACATTCTATCTTGTATATACATCTCCAATTATACTGTATATCCGGAAGAAGTATAAGATAATCAAAGACTATAGCCAGCCAAAATAAAATGTGATTCCTTCCTCAGCCTCCTCCATTGAGCCAGGGATGTTGCAAGCACTTTTTCAGGATTTCGATCCAAGCCTTATCTCTTACCACATACTCAGGGCACCCGGGACTCATTGACCACGCGCGACATGGATCGTCCTCAGTCGATAGATTGTCCATGAAAAGGTCCATCACAGGGATCCTGAAGTCACCCCATGCCTCCCACGCCCACGGCGAGTGGGGTGTGTCTTAAAAACATTGCAAACGACTGGGGGGATCTTCCAAGTGGTGTGTTGACACCTTTCAAATCGGGTCTCCACCACCCCCGAAAAGATACCGTTTGCGCGAACCCCTGTGACGTCTATCCATCGGACATCGTCTGGAGTCCAGTGGTTCGCTAGGTTCACCCAGGGGCTTCCAGCCAGGTGACCCCGACATGAAGGTGCTGGCACATGACATGTTGTTTATTCCAGCAGTCACAAAGGTGTGCGATCCATGGAGGGAGTCGGGGTGCCCAGAACATCCACTCACTTAGGGACCAAACACCACCCCGTCTGGTGACTCCTGGTTTTTTTGGTTTTGGTCGATCCCGACCTCGAATCGGAAAGGACGTTAGGATGGAAAGGACGGTGCGTTCTCGGCGTTCTGGCGCGGTCCGGCTCGAGCCGGCGCGATGTGTTTCTCTTAGACCCCAAAAACGCGGTGTTCGCCAGACCAAAGAGTGTGTGGTGCTTCGCCATGGAAGCTCGCAGATCCTCGAAGTTTGCAGAAGTTCCTCACAGTGAGACCACGGTGGTGCTCACCGGCTTGCCGAAAACCCTGAACGCCGAGATCATGTTGGGGATCTTAGACAAGAGCTTCGCAGGCCGTTACGACTACTTCTATTTACCCATGGACGTGGAACGGGTGGAGAGCAGGGGACTGGCGTACATCAACTTTCGTTCTCATGCGGACGCCGTGAGGTGCTGCCGTGACTTCAACGGCTTCAGCCGATGGCCTGGGACGCAGCATGACCGAAGATGTCGAGGACAGTGGTCCTCGATCCAAGGGTTGGAGGCCAACATCGAGAAGCAGCAGCAGGCTGATTGGGTCAGCTGCAATGTGCCAGAAGACTGCAAGCCAATGGTTTTCGATGAGGAGGGCATTCGCCTCCCGACCTGGGAGGTGTTTGTCTCTCTAGACAACAAGGCTTCGGGCAGCAGCTCGAATGACAAAGGATGGACGAATGAATGGTATGGAAGCAGCTCCAGTCAGCCATCAGATCGGAATACGCATGAGGGCTGGTCAGAATGGAGCAAGACAGAATGGAATTATGGCTGGTCGAAAGAGGATTCCTGGAAAGACAAGACGTGGAAGTCTGCCTGGTCGAAAGAGAAGTCTGCCTGGTCGAGGGATGAGACCTGGACATCTGCCTGGTCGAAAGAGAAGTCTGCCTGGTCGAGGGATGAGACCTGGACGTCTGCCTGGTCGAAAGAGAAGTCTGCCTGGTCGAAGAAAGACAGGTGGGACACTGGCATGAGGGGCTTCCAGGAGGTCTCCCAGCTTGAACAGTGCGAGGTCACGAAGGTCCCCCAGGTCTCGCCTTCGGAGCAGGTCTCGTTGGTTGAGCTTTTCGAGGGGCTTCGCTTGGTGGACCCTCTCCGTTTGGACTCCGTGGACGCGACCCGCGCGGCCCCGGCAGTGTGGAGCGAGAGCGAGAGTTCCTGCGTGGCGTGTGGGGCGAAGTATGCCTGTCCAGCTTGCAGAGCTGGTTTTGCCAAGTGGTCTGCCTGTCAGCATCACATTGTGAATTCCGAATGTGTGAAGGTCATCGAGCTGGACAAGGTGGACCTGCAAGAGGTCTGTAAACAGGCGATCCACAGGACAGAGAAGGAGGTGGACAGAGGACAGGCGATTCAGACACATCAGGAGAGCATTGTAGAGGAAGAGCGTCGCTTTCAGTGAATCAGCTGAAGGCCTAGCAGGACAGCGATCGCCGCGACTAGTCGCGAGCATGGAAAAGACCGATCGCGGGATGACGGCGGGTTATGGATGGTTATGGTGGGTTTGCGCAGAGAATCATTCAATGCAAGTCAACAACCCAATGTGCAGATCAGAGATGAGGAATCGCTAGCTTGTTGCATCTTTTTGCTAGCAAAATTAATCTAACTGAGAACTATAACTATAATTATATATTATACAGTTCTAGGTCGACGGATGATTTGGCTTCACCTCCTGTACAGGTGCTTTCTGCGGATGCCACGCACAAAACCACGAACCCCCCGAGGAAGAAACCTCCGGGCCCCGCGCCTATGGTTTTTCCTCAGTGAGTCGACGGTCTGAGTCTAGATGGATCTAGGCTCCTGAGGCTCCACGGCTGATCCGTTGGATCTTCCCGTGAAACGGGGCTCCCACTGACCCATCGAAAAGCTGAGGAGATGGGCATCACCATTTTTGGTCACCCCAAACGTATACGCAAAGACGCACCCCACACGCAACGTGGCATCTTTGAAAAGGAGAAAGCGGCCGTTGGAGCCCTACCCTGGAAGTCCAGATGACCAGTTTTCAACAAGGGCACGATCTAGTTTTGTAGTGTAAAATCATGTAGAATCCTTAGCAAAACGGTTGTTCAGCAAAGGCTATATGAAATAAATGAGTGGTTTCTAGGGCCTATAGGGATTATGTGTAACTCTATAACCCAAACCCTTCCAGAATCAAACACCCCTGCCAAAAGGCCTTACTTGTTTGTAACTTTATAGTCCCTCCAATTCAGCTTCTTGATTCGCCCCTTTCAAACGGCCAACGGGCATGGGTAATGCCTGTTGCTTCGGACCTCATCTTTGTTCCCGAACGCCGTTCGTCGTCGCATGGATGAAACCGGTCCAGTTGGAGGATCTGGCGAAGTCGATCCTGAACTCGGGTGACGGAGTCGGACCAGTAGTCAGACCCTTTCTTAAATACATGTAGACTCCCACCACCCAAGGGGTGGTTATTAGATGGAAAATACATCTTCAGGGGGGTCTATAAACCACCCGAACTGGGTGGTTCTGGTCTTGATTAATATATTTATATTTTCATCTATTTTCGCCCCCCCCTATGAATCGAGGTGGTTCAATTCAAACGGGGGTGGTTCATGTACCTGAAGAGAGTCTACATGACCTCTTGGACTCTCACGGTTTTTGTTTTAATCCTTTTCGTTCTGGAAACACCATTCCGTAACATTCCCGTTGGTCTCGAAAAGACCACCTCACGTGACTCAAGAAGTCTCAGCCATTTGGCTGATGCGACATCTCCATCCCTCGCACTGGTCGACCCACACCTGTCTACCTGTCTACCTCTATCCATCTCTATCCTATCCAACCATCTCCACCCCCCCAAAAAGGAAACACCCTCAAAAAAAGAACACGCCTCTCTCCCGCAAAACACGATGAACTCCTCCACTCATCTCCACCTCCACCCACCTACACTCTTCACTCCACTACTCCACTTTCACTCCGGTCACCGGCTCCCAGGTGCTGCGCGCACCAAGGTGTGGCTTGTACCGGACCAGTGAAGCCCACGGTGCCGCTGCAGCACGGCCACCAGCCGCTCGGGCGTACGACGCGGACGGAGGGGAGGGGAGGCGGGGGTGGGGGCCGAAGGAGTCGGATGACTGCGGGGACGGAGGTTGGGGTGGTGGGGAAGGAGGGACACCTGAAATCACCTGTTTCGCTGTTTCGCTGTTTCGGGATGGGTTTTGAGGGAACATGACGGGAAGAACACAAAGGTGAGCTCGTGGTGATTCAAGGTGAGCTCTTGATTCCTTTTTGATTTGAGTCCTTTTGGATCCTCCTGGCATTGAGGTCACTCAAACGAAGCTGGGTGACTCAAACGAAGCTGGGTGGTGTCACGAAGCTGTTGGTTTTGCATCCAGGTACGGATGGGGCTTGGGGGGAAGGAAGGCCGATCATGCTTTAGATGTTGAGATGCAGGTGGTGGTTTTGGCTGTGATTCAGACCTGCCCAGACACTCCAAACAGCCCGACTGGTCCCTCAAAACCATTCAAAACCGGGATTGGTTCGGGTCCGTACCCCTCCAGAGGATTCGGGTACGGCTCCTGAGGGTCCAGCCTTCGCGTCTGGGTGGCTAGATGAGACTTAGGAGCTGCGAGACTTCGGAAATCATTCGAACCAGATCTGGATGAGAAACTCGTGGATGAAAACACCACAGTCGATCTCTCTTTCAAAGGGGCTCGACGCTCGACAGGTCTGACGGTCGTAAACTGGTGTGTGTGTGTGTGGAAGTCTTCTTCCTCTTCGGGTTTCGACGGATTGGACAGGATGTGATGGGATGGTGGGTGAACTACTTCTATGTCATTGGCCCGCACAAGTCCTAAGTCACCGGTCGGTAGTGGAACAAACCCATGGGAGAAGCCCTCGTGGTCCTCATGGTCCTTGTGGGTCAGTGGTCTCCATGCGCCTGGAGAGTGAGCCGCAGAGAGCCACAGCCGCTGTGCTCCGCATCGCCTCGAGACTCAGCTCCCTCTTTGAACCTGAAAGGATTCAGAATCCTTGGACCCTTCATAGCATCAAGAAACGGACAATTCCAATATGGCAATTGAGATCAATTTATACATAGGAAATGCCCAGTGGAGGGCTTTCCCCCTTCATGGCACCCACAACTCCTGCAGGACTCCTGCAGGACTCCTGCAGGACTCCTGCCACCCTTGTGTTTCAAGGTCTCACCTTCCTCTTTGGAACGATCGTTGCGTCTTTTCGGGGAAGAAAAACACAATGCCCTGTTCCGTCTCCTGTTCACTACTGTTCGTGTCGCCGGTCACGCCAACGGGTCTGTCGTCCGATCTAAGTAGGCAGACGAACGGCAGACCAACGGCAGCCGTGTTCAGAGAACAAAGAAAGCCAAGCACCCATAAGCACCCTAACCCTCAAAGAATCAGCCTCTTTACTACCAGCATCAACCGGTTGTTGGATGATCTGTAAGGGGGCTCTATAAACCTGAACTGGGTGGTGCTGGTAGACAGCCCCGTGCGCCCATGGCTGTCTGAGTCAGGGTTGTTCTCCCCCTACCCAGGGGAGAACGGCGTGGTTTCGGCGTGTAAAGGATTTGTGGTATGTGAAAGGGGAGCAACACCGGGCCGTTTCTTTCCTCTAAAAGCTGCAACTTGTAAACAGTTTTGTCTTGCTTTGCTTTGTGGCCCCAAAGCTTTTTCCTTTTCACTGAAAAGGGTTTACAGGCCCCAAGAGAAAGGAGGGAGCGAGGAGGTTGCGGATCAGATGGATGATGATGGATGGATGGATGTTTGGGGTCCTCCAGCTTAACACCCGGCTCGTCCACCGGGCACGAAGAACGGCGCTGACGGTCGAACGGAACGGAAGATGGTCACCTTCGGAGCGGAACGCGTCCCGAAGAACGAAGTACCAGAACCACCCAGTTCGGGTGGTTTATAGACCCCCTCTGAAGATGTATTTTCCATCTAACCACCCGAACTGGGTGGTGCTGGTAGTTGACAGCGGGGGTTTGGTCACATGATACCTCCCCTTCGACAACTCCGGGCTCTCTGACTCCGGGCTCAACTCCGGCAAGAAAATGATCTCGGATTTTAGAAGGGGCCTTCGAAACCCGAAAGCGAAAACAGACGCCCAGTTGCCCAGTTGATTTGGCTCAAAAGACTTTTTTCCATCCAATCATCTGCAGACGTTCTTTTGTTCCCATGGATTCCGCCTGGACCTTGGAACCGACCACGGTGGTGCTCAGAGGCTTGCCGAAACGCCTGAACGCCGAGACTTTGTTGGGACTTTTGGATGCAAACTTCTTGGGCTGCTACGACTATTTCTATCTACCCCTGGAAAACGTGGAGCGCTTGGAGGGCCTGGGACTCGGCGAGGCCTACATCAACTTTCGTTCGCACGAGGCCGCCGTCGTGTGCCAGCGCTACTTCACGGGCTTCACCGGATGGCCTGGTGGCTTTCACGGATGGGGAGAGGGGACGTGTAGAGGCGAGTGGTCCTCGATCCAAGGGTTGGAGGCCAACATCGAGAAGCAGCGGCAGGCTGATTGGGTGAACTGCAATGTGCCAGAGGACTGCAAGCCAATGGTTTTCGATGAGCAGGGCATTCGCCTCCCCACCCGGGAGGTGTTTCTGGACCGTCGAGGGTGGGGCAGCTCGAAGGGCGATCAATGGACCAAAGAATGGTATGGAAGCAGCTCCAAGGGCTTGCACTCGTATCCTGACCGCTGGTCAGACTGGAGGAAGGACGAGTGGTCTGAGTGGTCCAGGTCACCGCATCCATGGTCGGAGCCTTCCCGCCATCGAGAAGTAGACGAAACAACCCTGGCCCTCGGGCCAGGGATGCCCACGTGGGAGCTGGAGGATAGCCAATCCCAGCCGATCGTTGAAATGCGATTGAATGTCCATGAGATCTTCCCCAAGCTTTTCTCACTGGACGAAACAGTGGGTGCTGACTCCTCCTCGGTGAATTCCAGTGCAGTTGTTGGCGCGGCGAATTCCAGTGCGGCGCCAACAAGCTGGAGCGTTTTGGGAGAGGCCAAATATGCATGTCCAAGTTGCGGCGCCTGCTTTGCCAAGTGGTCTGCCTGTCAGCATCACATCATTGCTTCGAGTTCTTGCCAGTGCCCGGAGATCACCAACATGGAAGAGCTGCAAGAGGTCTGCAAGCGACAGGTGATCTCCGATGGCCCTGATATAGATCCAACGCCCTTTCATGACAATGAGTTTGTTGACCCGCGACTCTTTCAGTGAATCTGATCTGCTTTTCCTGCTCGGGCTCGGGCGTTCTATGAGCCCATGTGTGGTTTCTCTGCCCAACATCCTTCAGATCTCACCGGCAGAGACCCGAAAATCGACCGCGGAAGACCGGTGCCGACGTCGGTGGATTCGTGGATGACACCCCGAAGACTGGCCATTCATGAGCTTTCCAAAGACCAAAAGCAGACAGGGGGGGTTGAAAACTCACTCCACCAACTCCCATGATGATCTAACATGCAGCGCCCAAGAAAAACAAACAGACAGGTCAGGTCCGACAATCTCTTTACATTGGCAGCGGTTTTTGACCGTTGCCATGTCACTTTAAGGAGATGTCATCTTGCATTGTTTCTCGTTTTTCCCAGTGGCAATTCCTCAAGTCGGATTTAGGCAGACCATGTTTACAACATGGTCGACTGGACCTCCGGAACGAAACCGGTCTACATTCGAAAGGAATCCACGGAAGTGCACCACCATCGTTTCGATTGGATGACAAATCCGAAGACCAGTGCCAGGTGGTTGTCACTTCATGATTTTTTGTGAGGGAGTGTCCTTGATCGGCTTCCGTTCTTCTTTGAGCCACACCTCCACACGGTCCACACTTGAAAAAACGGTCCACACGGACAAAGCCGCACGGTTCGTCATCGCAGTCATCGCTTCAGTTCACCCAGGTGGACCCGGGTGAAGGCTGCAGAAGGCGTCTATGTCTGGCAGCAGGTGAAGAGCCATGTGACCAAGACCTACAACTGCGTCACCGGGTACCTGGGTCCTTCACCAGTCGGAGAAAGGGAGCAAGATGGAGGGAGGAGGAAGGAGGGGAGGAGAGGAGGGAGGACTGTTTCCAAGAAACCTCTTTTCCATTCTCAAGCAACCCAAAAACCAGCACCACAGATTCCGGGTGTCCATTACTAGCCCCTTGACCTCCGGGTGTCCATTCACCACCCCTTGGGAGCTTCGGGGGGGGGGGAGTCGAAGCGTCTCTGACCGAGTCACCGTGGGACGAAAGGAGAAAGGTCCAAGAGTCATGTTCTGGGCACCCCGACTACCTCCATGGATCGCACCCCGTCTTGTGACTGCAGGTTTTGTCTTTTTCTGCCAGCTTCTTCAGTACGTGACCTTTTTGGAGTCCCCAGTCGTGACCTATAGGATCCTATAGGCCTATATTTCAGGTGACTGAACCAACCAGGATGTCAAGTTAGGTTACTTTGAAGAACCAGGTGCATCATCTTTCAATCCAACTTCCCAGATGCACCGATCATGGGAGTTCCACCTGGGAAATTTCACGAACCGGGCGAACGGCATGGACTAGACTGAAAGAGTATATGTTCCTTCTACAAACCGGGCGTGGTTTTCAGGTTCCATGGTAATTTTCCCGGGCGTAGAGTGATGTTATTGTGGGAACCGTGGAGTGGAGTGAGCATTTCACCCACCTGTTTTTTGGGTCTTCGGAAAACGGTGTATACTCTTTTTTGGCCATATGGAATCCATGTTCATTCATGAAAAGTTCCTGAGGGAGTGTATAGGGCTCCTGTCCCACATCACCAGAAGAGGGTTGGGGTGGGTGGGTGCCAGGGTGGTCTAACCACCGAACCTGAGGAGATGGGACAGGAGCCCAAACGGGATAGGATAGATGGCTTGATGGTTTAGACGTTTTCTACCAGCACTGACCTACCAGCACTGACCAGCACCTTCATGTCGGGGTCACCAATGGGAGGAAGCCCCGTGCTATACACACACACACACTACTTATTAGGGCCTTAGGGACCTCTATTGGACACCCCTTAAAGAAGGTCCAGGTAATATGAAGTACTGTATATAATAGAGGGTCGGAACGAGTGTCGATGGAAGTCATATACCCGAAGTCATCTGACGGCGCGGACAGGGAACCCTGAGAGTCTCGCTTGGGAATGGCTAGAGTCTGGATGAGTCTGGGAGTTTTTGGATGGAAATGGTCAGGACTGCCACAGGATTTGGCTCATGGCTCCGCCCAAAAGTCCTCTCTTCTTCTGTTTGGGCTCCAGTCGTATCTTCGTTTCAGAAGATGGGACTGGGGTGGGTGGTTTTTCTTGGGAGTCTATCCCCACCGAACCTGAGGGACAGGAGCCCCAACGGGAACGAACAGCTGGAGAAAGAACATGGGACCCGCACGGGGACCAGAGACTAGATCATCTGCGCTGGGACATATGGCTGGGACTCCAGGTACGATGTGAACCTATACACTTGGAGGTTCTCAGCTTTGACCCGCATTCAGTCACATTCATATGACCCGCTCCACTGCAAGTTGCAAAAGATGCCCAGCTGGTGAGCCGAACTCTTATCAAGACCGAACGGGAACCGAGTTGGGTGGACAAACAGCAGCTTGCCCTTTTAAAGGCGAAGTAAATAGAACCCCAGCGGCGGGGTGCCAGCTCACCACCTCGTGATGCTTTGAATAGATGGCATTTTCTGATGATCAACTGCTGACATCCACCCGTGTCCACACATTTTTCCAGCCTCGCCCAGGTTGGAAGATGCATCACGGTGGACCTCGGAGAAACGCGACTACTGCTGTCAGCACTTCAACAAGGCCTGTTGAGAGGTCCTGAGGTCAGAAGCCCCGCGCGGCTCTTAGGTAAACCGTCCAGTGCTTGGCGCGGGACTTGGGATTCCTGGAGAAACGGGTGCCCAAGTGTTTTGCGGAGAAGGGAGTGCTGGCCGCCAGCGGAAGAGATTCTGAAGAAGGATCTCTTGTAGCGGCGAAGGCGGGTTTTGGCTTGATGCACGAGATTTGAGTAGCTGAAACCCTTGAAGTATCTTGAAGTTTTGGATCCGTTTTTTGCAAGCAGCCAGTGTCAATGTCGTTCCCTCGCCACGTTCAAGCCAAAGCTATGGTCGCAAGGAGGGATTCCATACTTTCACCAGAGTTTTCTGACGCGTACTCTGCGAATGACCTGTGCCCCAGGATTTTTCGGTGCATTCACCTTTGCTTGCTGATGGTGTGTGGTACTCTTCGGAAGGGTTGGGCCCAGGAGTAAACGAACTGGAGAAATCGGTCATGTAGACTCTTGATTAGAGTTCAACTCAGCTTTTACAATCCAAATGGAGGGGGTTGATGAATCAAGAGTCCACCCCCAAAGTTTCCCAGTTACCACTACCTCCCAGTTACACAGCGGGTAGTGCAGCGGGTAGTATGTTTGGCATTTGCCCATCCAGCAAATGGTCACATAAGGCTTCTAGAGCAGCAACAACGAGTGCGGCGCGTTCGCGTGTACGCGCGTGTAGGCGCGTTTGTAGTTTGTTTTGTTCGATTTGATCTCTCCCAAGATCCACCAGTCGTTCTCGTGGTGGTGGCACCGCTCAGCAGAGTTTGTACATTTTGAGGATCTGCCACGTGGCTTCCTGGTAGCTTCAGGTCCATTCCCGCCAGTAGGTGTCTCATGGCGGGTTTGGATCGTGTGGTGATTGGCATGTTAGGCTGCCTGGGGCCGTTTCGACGCCGCATGCCGCGCCGCGCCGCGGCATTCTGACAGAGGGGGTGTAGCAGGAGGATCCCTTTGGGGATCTGTTTGGTGCACTTTAGAGTACTTAGACTATACCAGGTTCCCTCCGACGGGTCACCAATTGAGACCTGAGACAGGGTCCAACAACCCTCAACTAACCGCCTGGGGAGGGTGCTGGTAGAGGAATGCTGGATTGAAACCCTTCTCCAACAATCCAACTCGAAGAGGCGATCAAACTGGCGTAGTCGAGTACTTTGAGGTGAAGGAGTAGGTGCAATCGCTACTAGGTGGAGGCACTACTGTTAATTTCTTAGGATGTTTAACCATGAACTACCGTACAGCTTTCTTCTCACCCTACAGCATTTCGCTCAATCAAGGCTACAAGGCTCCCTGGTGATCCAAAAGAGGGACGTCTGGGTTGAAAATGATTGAAACCCTCAACACTCTGATAGAATCATGGTGGTTACGTGGACGGCATGGCCCCGATTTCGAATGACCATGTTCCGAAGACCAAACAGCTGGTGAACTACACTTTTTCTCAAACCGCCCAAGTCAACCCAATTCGTCTTGGTGATTTTGGGGTTGGTCCGTTTGCATGTCAATCTCTTGCAGAATGCTTCGACCTTCCGAAGAAAACACATCCAGCCGAATCCAAACTCAAACTTGAGCAGCACTGCGTCGCCCCTCCTTCATCCAACCGCGGCTGGCAGAAACCCCCAAGTTTTCCCGTTCATCTTCGCGGCTTCCAAGACCGGGGGACCCTGAAGGGGACCGAACTCGGCAACTTCAGCCGGGGGTGACATTCTGTAGCTCGGAAAAACGGCCCAACGGCGCGCGCGACCGGCTGGGACCGGCACCTATCTTGGTGGAAACCCGAAAGTGAGGGATGGTGAAGCAGGTGATGAATGGCTGCAGAAGAATCATTGAACAAGCACTTTCCTCTTGGGCAAAGAGACTTGCGCTCGTGGGGTTGGAGTAGTTGGATCGGCAGATCACCGGTCAGGTGCCAGACGCGGGAACGAGGGGTTTCCAGACCAGCAGGTTTGGTTTGGGAAACGTTGGGAACCTGTGTGTGTTTCCGTCTACTGGTACCAGGAGTCACAAAGGGGTGTCCTGTTTGGAAGCCTATAGGTAGTGTGGGGTACTTCATTGGACACCCCTTTGTGACTCCTGGTATATGGATGGTTTCAGATCTTGTTGTTTGCAACCATTTCTTGATGGATCCCACTGACGAATGTGTTGCGTTCGTTGAAACCAAGCACGGCAGGTCTAATCTTTGGGGGGGAGCTGGGGGCTCCCTATTCCAATACACACTGGACCTCGAGCCAGCTGTTGGACCGAGCTGTTGGACTGACAGAGGCAGAGCGACCAGTTAGCAGGATTTCACCGATCAGCTGAGGTGCCCGATCCATCCACCCTTTTTTCATGGGTAGATCCATCTGCTGGGTCAATCAGTCAGTCCCTGCCTGCCTGCATTTTCCAGCCGACATCGCGGACCTGCCCATTTTGCCGACCTCGCCGACCTCCGTGGCGGTTTCGGCTGGACCGGTCAAGGGCGATTGACGCGGCCCCCAACGGCGGAGCGCGGTTTCGTCACCCCTTTGTGGCGCGGTTCGTCTTCGACCCCTCGCCATGGGTGCGAACAAGGTGGTGAGCGCCTCAGGTGGCCGTGGTGCCTGGGGCCGTGGAGACCGGGGCGCAACTCTATAGTGTCGAGACCGCCCGGAGACCACCGGAGCCTCCGCTCGCCGGAGACTCCGCCGAGTCATCAGGTGCAGAAGTCCAAGGAGGCCAAGATGAAGGCGGCCATGGCGGGCGGCAAAAGCCGCAAGAAGAAGTGGGCCAAGGGCAAGGCGCGGCCCGACCCTGGCCTCTCCGGCCTCGCATGGCCTCTGCGATCGATGCGATATGCACCGGTTGCCGTGACTCCGGTCGTTCGTTCGGGTCAAGCGCGATCGTCCTCGCGCATTCGCGAGGGTGGGGGATGGGTTACCTCTCGCAGCCCTGAGGGGGGTTTGGTGACGGAACCCCTTTCCCTGTCGCAAAGAACGAAGCGAAGCGAAGCTTTCTGACGCGGAACATCCCCTGAAGCTTCCACGAAGCGAAACCGAAGTCCGAGCACAGCAACAGAGCGCTTTGTTCGGTGCGAAACGGGTGATGTTGCTGGTGGTTCATGGATCAACGTTTTTCGATATTCTCTCCACTCCACTCCACTCACCCTGAAGGTTTTTCCAAGAACATGATGGTGGAGGGGTGGTTTGTTCGACACTTGGAGTCTATGTAGAACAGGCACTCTTGCTATGTCTACGAATCTATAATAGAACAACATAGAACAACCACCAATACAGGAACAACATGGAACAACAAAGTATTTTAGCTGCAAAATGGGCGCCAAAAGGTCTCCATTGCTACAGGATTTGTACTAAGTGACATTGAAACCCCTGTCGTAGCCAACAGAAGGAGGCAATCAAGCATTCCTCCGCATTTTGCATCATTGACCTCACTGTCACTCTCTCGAAATTGCCAACCGCCTTAGGTGAAGCATTCCAAGGCTTTGATTCTCATGCCTCAACAGCATGCTTTGACGAGCAATGCCTCTTCTCATGTCTCGGCTTCAGGTCAAGGAGAAGCTGGCGAACTTGGTCATGTTTGACAAGGCCACCTACGACAAGATGCTGAAAGAGATCCCCAAGGCTGGCACGGGAGACCGTGGAATTTTTCTGCTTCACGGGGTGGTTGGGTCAGTGTGGTGGTCCCAATATTCTCTGAATATTTCTTGTGATTGAGTTATTCTGATCATTCAACAGGTGAACCTTACTTGAAATATGCTAAGCAGACACTTGAAGGGGTTTCACCCGTGCAACTCTGATTTGCGAGACATAGCAACACTCCCAAGGAATGATGGTATTTTCAGAGCTTTCTGGTTCCGAATTCTCGAAAGTTTCGTGTGACGGTCCGCAGGTCGTCGGTTGAAACCATTTTATCCCATCTTATCCCATCTAGAAAGATGGTATTGGTCCTGGTGTGCATCTGTATCCCGGGAGAATGAACCAAACCGAAAGCCCAGTGGGTGGAGAAGGCAGTCCGAAGCATTCCGAAGCACCGGGGCGGGCCGGTGCCGGTCGCCCCGGTGTCTTAAGAGCTGGCCTTACACGGTTCCGGGCAACTGGCAACTGGCCTTAAGAGGTATATAGCCCTCAGAATCGATTGATCCTGCGAAGCTTAAGTTCAATGAGTGGGGAATTCAGCTCAAATGGACGTTTTTCATCTTGATGTTTCGACCATGTCCACATTTTCTACCAGAGCTTTCACTTATTTCACGGGGTGGGGTGGTTCAAGAAAGTCAGTGCTTTGTGACTGTGACCGAAGACCGTTTGGTCAGGAAGATCTATGATACCACCCGATCTGCACCGATCAAGCTATAGTGAACAACCATTACATCCGCATCTTGAAGAAGGCAAAGGAACCCCCCAAAAAACAGTGCAGAACCCATATCATCCATGCAATTAAACATGCACATATAGAATACACACCCACCGTCCTCCGCCTCCCAAAATGCCAAACTCTGGAACCTCCGCCCTCCCTACCGCGCACCCTCCCCACCTCCTTGCCTTCCGCGCCGGGCCACGCCGGGTCACGCGGGTCGTGGGGTCTAGGCGCGGCTCATCACGCCCTCCGTGGTGAGCGAGCGGCTGAAGGTGAACGGCTCCGTGGCGCGCCAGGCGATCCGACACCTGGAGGACCGGTGGGGGACGAGTGGTGCTGGCGCGGGCGAGGAGGCGAGTGGATGCAGCGCCGCGCGGTGGTGCGGTGGTGCGGTGGTGCGAGGGGTGGTGCGGAAGAGGTGCGGAAGAGGTGCGGAGCGGAATGAGGGGTATGAGCGGAATATTTGAGTGGTGCGGAGAGTGTGAGGAGAGTGCGGAGGTAGTGGTGTGGAGCGGTGCTGGCGTGGAGCTCTCTTGGTTTTTGTGGGGGGCTCTCTGGTGGTGATGTGGGTGGGGGTGGTGAGAAGTGGATGTTTTTTTTTGTTTTTTAATTATTGGGGTGATGTCATCCATGGTGAGCATGAGGCCGTCTGGAATCCTGGAACCCCCGTCTGGCGACCAGTCTCCTGTTTTGTGCGAACGGAGAGCGTGGTGACGCGTATTTGGTCATGAGCCATACAACCTTGCACAGTTTGAGGGAGGAATGTTGGATAGTTGCCTTGGAACACACTCTACACTGCCCATGCTTCGAGCACGTGGCAAGTAGGAACATCTTCCAGCAGTGGGGCTGGTGCCTTTTTGACCGCTGCTCAAAGACAAAGTCACAATCATCCTCAAGTAGAGTGAATTCTGAATAGCACGGCCTTAGAACGCCTTAGAACGCTTTGAACGCTCTCCTCCATCCTTTTCCTTCCGAATCTCTTGCCGCGGTGGAGCATGGAGCCAGCTGCGTCCACCACTCGGACAGAAACCGCGTCGTCGAGCAGCTTCCTGCACCGCTCGCGAGGAGAAGGGCATGATCGCCCATGTGGGCGAGAAGCGCCTTGGTCTGGGTTTGGTCTTGGTTGTGGGAGGACCTCCCTGGCCCCAATGGATTTATGTGGATTTATATAGTCAGTGTATGACATAGTATGAGGATTCCCAGAGGTCTGACTGGGGGGAGACCCCCCCTCTTCTCCACCCACGCCTTATCCCGCCGTGGTCGTGGTGTTCTCGGACCCCCAGGGGGGCGACGAGAGACACGGAAGCGACGAGAGGCTTTCGGCTGACGTGGGGAGGAACTGCCAAGCAGAGTTGGGATGGAGAAAGAGAGAGAGAGAGAGAGAGAAAGAGAGCTTGACATTTTGGACTGGTCCTTTCTTGTTTTTTGTGGAACTGCAGAGGAGAGAAGACCGAGAGGATGCACAACCACAGTTCGATCATTCTGATGGGGGTGTTGTTTTGGTGATCGACATGGCAAAATTCTTGCGTTTTGTCCGGAGTTTACTTTGACCCTGGCTCGTATGAGTGTAGTGTAGTGAAGCTGCTTCTGTAGTGTAGTGGACGGGGCTACTCTGTTTAGGAGGAGATGTATTCCAATCAAATGGGGATGGGGGCACTGGCTGCCAAACATTCGTTGGCCTGTTGAAGTTTGCACCTTCCGCAGCGCTCTTCAGCGGGCAACACCTATCAAGCACCGTTCATCTTATCGTAAGTGCTACCCAAACGGTGAGCCGTGAATGCCCTCTATGTGATCCTTCTAATAATCTAATAGGAATGTTCATCATCGTCTATGTCCACAATATGTCTGGGAAGGGCACCTCATGTAGACTGAAACACCATGTACTGTATTTCATAGCCTTTAATCAAAGAACCATTGTTTTCCTAAGGATTTGACACTACGAACACAGCTCACCCATGCTCAACCAGTTTAAACATGATTAAGCATCGTCGACTCTGCGTTGGGGGTCACCTGGCTGGATATCTCCACACTCCGTAAACAGATCTCCGGGTTTCCAGGCACCCCGAACTAGGGAAGGCGCTAGGTAGGGTCGACGGCGGGGTGTCCGAGGTCCAGCAAGCAGATGATCTACACCCGAAAGATCGGTGGTGGCGAGGACGAAAGGGAAGACACCGTGGCGGGCGAGTGAGGTTCTTCGCCTTCATGAACTGACTAAAAAGTGTTTAGAAGAGATATACTCAACAAAATGTGAAGGAATGATTTCTCACTATGGATACCTTAGGATCCAGCCACCCTCATTCCTTACTCAGGCACCAGTCAGATTTCCCTGGAAGGCTGCGAGCCTTGGCGGTTCTTGTTCACGGATTCAGCCTGGTTTTTGCGAATGTGGCTGCGGCTCCGGTTTGCTGGTGAATGTGAACCCGGACTGCTTGGTCAACCAGTTTGTTCACCTTCCAATCATGTTCCTCAGGTTCGGTATCGGTTTGCAGGTCCAGTCATACCGAACCTGAGGAGGTACGACTGGAGCCCTGGGGGTTTTGCCGGAGGGCGCCCAAAACGGTGACGGTCGATCCCAGATCCATTCGAGCGACCCGGCAGTCGCTCGGTCCGTCGGTCTGGATCGGTTTGGTCTGGCCAAGTGGAAGGTTCCCTGGATGTCCCTTCTTCGCCCCCCCAAATCCATGTCGAAAATCTGAGGAGATGGTGCATGATACCACTCAAAGGACTGTTGACTGTTGCCCACCCCCTCACTGAATCCAGAGCTCCTCTCCAACTCCTCCAACTCCTATTTGGGAGGCCCCACCCATGGGACTCTTGACATGAGACCCTGCAGACCTCACCAACTTGGAACAAACTGGAGCACGTTCGAACCTCGCGAAGAACACATGGAAGTAGAGAGGGAGCCGAACGACAGCATGACGAGAATATGATAGGACACTGCAGCGCTTCCAACCGTTAGTGCTTCGGGCTCGAACTGCGGGGTATTGATTTGCAGGACTGAGTGCACTCAACGCGAACGAGCAGAAGTTACGCCTGACAGCCGAATGGAGCCGGTTTGGTGAAAAAGAATGAACGGTGTTCATGGGTGGAAGGCGGCAAAGGCTCTATGCCAGATATAGTCAGCGATGCGCAACTAGTAAAGAGCATGGTTGTGCTCAAGGTGATTGTTTATTTGCCCTATGGCCCTATGGGTAAATCCCCCTTTCGCGGGATATATACATTATATAATATATAGATCTATTACATGTTCAAAGCAAATCCCAGAGAGCCATACTTGGAATGGCATCCAAGAACATGGGGGAGCAAGCTGGGATGCACCTGGGTGGGCGAAACAGGATTCGAAGCAGTATTTCTTGAAGGGGTATGACTCATGACCGAACAACCCTTGTCTTAAGCATGATAGGACCCTGTTCGACCCGAGAGAACTGAACTCTGTTGCATGGTATAGGTCTTGAGATACGCCGATACGACTGGTCAGTGGCCAACAGTCTTCTGGTTGTGTGAAGCGCACTCGTATGCACAGTCTTCTTCAGTCTTCGTGTTGTGTTTGGTGCCAAACTGCGATGGTCGTCCTCGAAGAGTTCTTTGCTGCGACACGTCTTCGTGCTTGCAGCCTGGAAGATCTCAAGCATCCCAAAGTACTCACCATTTGGCCAACTGTCTTGGCCACCATGGCGAACTCTCACATGGGAAGTTCCCCTTGGCGCGGCTTCAAGGACCAGGTGGGCCCGTCTGAAAAACGAGGCTTCAAAGGTTGGGTCCAAGAGCCACGAATCACCCCAGAGAGTCCTTTCGGAAGCAAAACAGAACCATTGGTGCTTTGGAATCATGGGGAATCTGCTACCTGAACCTTCAAGCGGTGTCCAATCAATGGAGGTCCCTGTACGTAGCGGGCTGGGGCTTCCAGCCAGGCGAGCCCTTTGAAGGTGCTGTGTTTACTGAATTTTGCTGATCCGGATGTCCTTCAGCAAGTCGACTTCTGGTTTTCGGGTATCGACCGCCAAAGGTCCATATGCCAGCTTTGCCAACCTCTGAATTACCCTCAATCCAACATGGAAGGGAACCCTCGTGCTGGTTAGAATGGTTAGAAGAATTCGTGGTCTTCCACGGGGACTTGCTCTCCACTTGATTCTTGGAGAACGAATGCATTGCGGCCTTTTTCTCCACCTGCCTGGCGAACGACCCACCATACATCCCCGTCAGGACTCATGGCTCAAATTCCAAGTGGTGGTTATGTAGGGACCGGTCCAAAACAGTCTTGGGGATTGGAGCCCAGAGTTCAATTCCTTCCGGGGGTATATCAGGTCTCGCCCCAGCTGCGAGGTCCAGATGCGACATTCTCTTTTCAACCCTCCCCCCCAGAGCCGCCTGGTGGCTCACCGTGGCCTCCTTCATGCCCGGATCCTGACAGTCCCCCTCCTTGAGCGAGCGTGACCCCCTCGTCTTCCTCCGTCACGAGCGTGCGACCCTTCCTTCGTTCGGTTGCTGAAGTCGCTCTGGTCAAAGCGGTCGTTGTTGGGCTTCCCCGGGTCTTCAGGCGAAGCAAAGACAAGAACGCCACCCTTCCACCCTTCCATCGGTGCAACGCCACGAGCTTTTTCATGCACCAGAAACAATGACCATTCATGCAACGTTGTTTGGCAATGGGATTCCGCGCAGGGCTCCCCTGTCTGGAAAGCCTACAGCGCCTTGAAGAGTGTACAAGAGATGGACCCGAATTTGCTCCAGGCAGGTGAATGAAGACCTGGCGCATCCTTCGCGTGTATCGTGTGTGTGGGGGATCTTGGGGGGCTTGAACTAATGCTTCTTTTGACTTTTGACTCTTCAGTTGAGGGGAACGATGTTGGGATGAAGATGTGCACTCCCCCAACTTTAAAACCAGTCGGGGATATAGTCGGTTTTTTTTTGATGGTCCAGACCTTCGCGCACGCATCCACATTTGTTCAACTATGTTCAACTCCTTTTAGGCCTGAGTGAAGGTTAACGCATGGAACGTTGTGGAGCCCGACAACCACTGGCTTTTGGAGGAAGCTCATCTTCCAAAGGTCCATTTTCAGATTCCATGTTACCAATCTTAAGAGATGGGAGTCTGAGCGCTGGGCCATGGGAGTCTGAGTGGGCGGGTCGGGCGGCTAGGGCCTATGGGATTTGCTGTTAAAGTGCCAGTTGTTCGTGACCCCCCCAACCACAGAGCAGCGGTGTGCAAAGAATGTCTTTGGTCGGGGCTTTTGGTTTTCGGTGTGCTTGTCAGGTGCATGATGTTGTTCAGGCTGACAATGTTTGTTGTGAACTCCCCTAGCCCCTAGACACTTGACAATGCACCTGTTTCAGTTGACTGTGGTTCTCTCGGAACATGCCTTTGTTGCTGCGGCTACAATGTTGCCAGTGTGAGTCTTCCATCATGAATTGGATGAAAGACAGTTCGCCTGACATGCGCAGCAGATTGCAGCAGTGCAGGTGCCGGTGCCGGTGCTGGTGATGATGGGCATGCAGAGTGCAGGGAAGACCAGCTTTATTGAATCTGGGCAATGGTATGGTGGAAAGCCTGATCCCTCAAAGTCTTGCGTGGGGCTGCTATCCAGTCGCGTGCTAGTGCACTATCCCCAAGAAAGCCCTCAGAGTCCAACTCTGTTTTGGGGTTTTGGACTGGAACAGGACGATACTTGCGGCACTAACCCTTTGAGGGACGTGGACGTGGGAGATCGTGGGAGAACATCTGAGCTCACGCATCAACAGGAGCACCACGGCCCGCGGTCCTTGAAACCCAACATTCCACAAGAGTTCTTACGCTGTCTTGGCCTTAGGATACCTGATGAGTTTTAGGATTTTTTAGGTGTGTCTCTCAAATGCGCAGTCCGGCTTATACGTAGAGTCATTCATCATCAAGCGATCCGACTTCAAGCGGTCCCAGTTGCCTGTTTACACCCAGATTCGGCGCTATTGCTATGGGGCTCAAATGTTTAACTACTGTATGACTGTATCTAACAATCTATTTATGTTAGATAATGTATTTTCCATGTGACAGCCTTTTTGGGTGAAAAGCATTGAAAAACACTCATATCGTTTCTAAACATAGATTTTGGTTGTTGGTCAAAACCAAGCACCCAAAGACATAAATTTCCCAAGAATTACTGTATGCTTTTGGATGCTCCAATTTTTCGTTTACATGGGCTACAATGATGCATCATGATGCTACATGGCTTTAATTTCACATCTAAATATTTATTTGAGGATTTGGCCGAGGCTTGGATTCATTGACGAGGGTGAAACGACCTCTCATGATCCTCCACTGCAACGGTCCTGCAACGGTCCTCTCGTTTCCTAATCCAAACGCTCCACCGGTGCTGCCATCTTTGGCCTACATTCATCCCAATAGACCACCCGCCATGGTCCCAAGGGTCAACAAATAAATCAACAGTCCAAACAGTCCCACCACCCGCCACGGCATGGCCTACATTCACTCAACAAACCGTCCCAACAGTCCCAAGGGTCGTGCCATGCACCGACCGTGCCCCACGCCGAGTTTCCCGAGGAAGCGATGGTGAAGTTCCCCGTGGGCTTCACAGACCGTCGCCTCGTCTGGTTTTTTTGGGGGGGGGCGGTGGTTGTTTTGGGGTGGTTCGGGTATTTGGTTTGAAGCCTCTGTTTTTGACTGGAGGATCTTCATGGAAAAGCATGGGGGTGCAAATGGAGATGACGTCTGGTGGTGGGATTTTTCTTTATTTCTCTTGTGACTCGAATCAGTGAAGTTCACTCGCACGTCGCGCACGGATTTGCTCACCAAGGCTGTACCGGGACGCGCTGTCCAGTGCGATACATCTTGCGGAGTTCATCTGTGGTGCTTCGCCCAAAGAGAGATCCAGGTGACGCAAACTGGGGCGACTGTTTGCATTCTGAATACAGAAGATCTTGGTAGATTTATGGGAAATGAGACAAGATATTCCATGTTGCACAGGGCGTGTCCATCAGTATGTATGGGTAGATAAAGCTTCTGGTCGAAGAGTGAGCCTAACTATAATATATTTTTCTTCCAGTAGATGAGTCGCCCATGGCTGGTGGATGGCGGTATGAGTTGTCCATCCCTTTTGACTAGGACAGGCGACCCAGGAGTGCGCAGGGCCGTTTGACTCACCAAAAAAAAGCGCAGGGCGTGCGTGGGAAGCGCTTCCGCACCGTGGGGACGATCGGACGCTGAGGATTCCTACAAAGTGGGTGGGGAGGTGGTGAAACGTGCTGCAGATGTGCGGGAGAAGGTGAGGGAACATATGAAGCGCCTGGCCCAAACGAACAGCTTCAGCCACGAGGTGCATGAGGGCGGCGAGGGACCTGGGAGATTTTTTTGCCTTGCGGTTCGCCTCGCGTGTCCACGCCTGGCACTCAACTGGTATCATTTATGTCCTGTCATGCCTGTAGCCTGGTAACTGTCACCCTGGTACATATGGTGCGAGGCCACCCTGTTTACCTTCCACCCCCCTCGTCCCTGGCAACTGCACTCAACTGGAACTGTAGCTCCCTTTTTTCTGTGTCTTTTGGGGGGTTTGGACGCTTCGGTCGCCTTTGGTGGAAGCTTTGGGCAGTCTTTCCTGATAACGTGAGTTCTTGCGCGTGACTCGTTGACTCAGTGCTATGACGTATTGAATTTGGTTCCTTGAAAGAGCTTTTAACCTTGGATATTCCTATTGGCATGCTTAAAGGTAATGATAAGTATAAGGAGAGAAGTCGCAGCCGTGAGTTGGAGTTCACACCTCAACCTACTACGACCTGTTTGAACCTTCGGGATTCTGTTCAAGCCAGGTTCTTACGGTGGAGATCAGCGAAAGGAACCAGATGGATATGGACATCACAGACTTGCCTGGTCTGAAGGACATCGGAATGAGAGGGAACTGAGATGTGTTTGAATTGGTCTGAACTGGTCTGCAGGGTATCTGGTATGCAGGGTATGAGGATAATGGTCCTGGTCTGAAATCTTCTTGAGGTGTCTGAACTGGTCTGCAGAACTTTTGGCCCTGTCAATCTGGGCTTCAGTCCGTGCGGATAGGTTTCAGTATCAAGAGGTGCGACTCAATAGGTTCCCCCAACAAGGTTCAAGTGCCAACGACATCAGGGCAAATACTAAGTACCATGTGAATATGATCTATGTTGCAGTAATTATATAGTATTGTGTTTAAGTTAATTTCATGTTAAGTGAGTCTGATTTCGTGGTAATTGGATCCTAGACTAGAGTCTAGTCCGAGAGGGGGGAAGAGGGGGGGAGGGGGCGGGCGCCGCTGTTTTGCGCTGCGGCCCACGGCCCACGCCCCACGGCGCTGGCTGCAGAAGGCTCGCACCTGCGGGCAAGGGTGGTGTGGTGATCATTGTGGAAACAAGAGTGGAAACAAACAGTTTACAACTTTGCATCACGCGAACAAAGCAGTTTGGTGAAGTTTCTGCACATGCTTACAGTGCATGTCATATTCCAGAGCATTTTGATATCAAGAGAAATCAAGAGAACATAAAGGGAGGCCATGGTGAAGTCGCTGGCTGCCCTGCTGGCAGAAAAGAAACAGAGCTTCAGCAAAAAACTAACAGCACTCGCCAATTTGTTCAGGAGTCTATTAATGTTTTTTCTTCATGGGTCCATGGGTCAATGCTCTTGGCTACTTGAGCCCAGGAAGGAGGGGACCACCGAGACCAAGAAAGACGACGTCTTCAAACGCCCATCCGCGAAGGTCAAGACCATCAAGCGTCCTGCCGCCGCTGCTGCCGTTTGTTCAGCACGTGTCACACCCGAGCCCGTAGAAGAGCAACAAGCAGAATCAGAAGAAGCAGAAGAACAGCACCAGCAGCAACAACCCTAGTATCCTTCGTGCGTTTGCCATTCATTCAGCTGTAGCCGTTTTTTTGTGACATTCCTTGTTTGTCTGCAGGTCACTTGTTGCCAGACCTGGTCCTTTATATAACTTTATACGTGACACGATGACCCAAGGACCACTACCTATCCGATGCCGCAAAAGGCAGCTGACTTGGGGAGCCTCGACATCCACGGTTGAATATGGTTGAATGTTTTGTTGCCGCAGCCTCACGCGCATGGTTTCTTTACAACCCCATGCGGTTCAGGATGTGGGCTCACAACCTCCTCAAGATGTGCGAGATGGCGTTTGGACGTGATCGTTGCATCGTCCAAATCTCAAAAAAGCGCGGGGCCATCACCATGTTCAGCGGAATTGAGTGCGCGCGAATGGCTTGGTGCATGATTGAAAAAGCCTCCGAAGATTTGTGGGGAACCAAAACTGGCCTTCACTTCAAATTTGCCGTGCTTGGGATGAATCTGTATTTGTACATTTGCTATCATATGCTTAGTCTTTTCTCCGTCTCACTTGGTGTGTGAAAATGGGTTGGGTTCAAAAAAAGGGGTAGAGAAGCAACTAAGGTAGAGAAAGACACCAGGTGCCAGAAGTGGCTGCAAGAGACCTTCAGTGACACCTGCCTGTTCACTGATGTTTTCAATATGATTGAGAACACCCTGCCCAAGAACAGGATTTTGGCAGCAAAGGAAATCAAATGGTGTAAAACGGCTTACTGCGCCGCTCATGGAAAGAACTGCAAGTTCCGCTTTGCCAAAGATGACTTGCTGGTTCTGGGAACACCGTGCGTTCTGTTCAGCCGGTTCTTCAGCGAGTATTGTAATGTACTTGGTTTTATTTCGATGTATATACTACTTTACGGGTTCACATGTGTCAAAACCAGAATACATACTGTATCATATCGATTTTGCAAGTCTTGCTCGACTGAGGCTTGGTCCAAGAGAGTCCTTTCGCAACTTGGACAAGGCGCAGGTGCACGCCGTGGGGGCCCGTGCGATGAACGACTGTTGCCAGAGTGTTCTGGAAAACGTGCAAGGGTACGACAGCAGCTATCTAGATGAGCATTGCACACTGGAGGTCACAAAAACCACGTTGCTTGAACCCATTAGAAAAATTAGAAAGCATTTTGAAATGTTATCACGACGGCCTCCCTCCAGTCTTCCCACCAGTGCCTGGTCCACTGAGGCTGCACCCTCAGCAGTTTGGATCTCCCTCTGGAAGGCTGCGGGAATACCGCCTGACATGGGACCGCAAACGCCGTTGGGGACATGAGCCTTGAATGCTTTATCTTCATAGTATGATGCGCGTTGAAACGTTTTGAACAACAAGTACCAGTTTTTCCTGCTCTAAGGAAATGACCTTCGATGATTTCACCAACAAGATGTTGATAGACAAGCACACGAAGCCAACGCTGGGCCCTACTTGTTTTGCCATTGATGGCCCTGATCAACTTGAAAAGGTTTTTGGGTCTTCCAGTTGGGGGGAGACAAGTCTATCAGAGTCAGGGCCTCATGGGTCGTGGAGGAGTGTGGAAAACAACTGTTTGGCAGGTCTTCCAGTTTTTACTTCAATCAACTGTTTGGGGTACCATGACATTGCTTCATGACTGTTTGGAGTAAGAACAGTGTGGAAACTGGGATCCTACTTCATGACCGTGCTTTAAGGTCAAACCGCGTGTCATTGCGGAAGTACCGACGACTGCACCCGGGCAAAAGAATCTTTGACCTGGGCCAAACTCCAGGGGTACGAGGCCGAACCGAGCTTCAGAACAATGAGCTCCCCACACTGGCACGGAGCACATCCCACTTGTGGTACCTAGTCTGTCTTTAAACTATGAACTGTCACTCACTGTGACTCACTATACCTGCACCAAAAACAGCCCATACAGCTCAGGTCTGAGGATTTGCAGCGGGTCTTTACTGGCCGTGAAAAGCTCTTTAGCCTTGGATACCCCGTTTGGGGCCCGCAGTGTGCAAAAGCTGGTGTGGCAGAAGCCTTAGCTGATTGATTCTGTTGGTTCTTCGAAACCTAAGATCCTGTATCTTCTGAAAAGTAGCAGGGGTGACCCGTGTTGCACTCAAACGCGCCCAGGAGCGCATTGCTTTGGCCGATGGAATCCGTTTCAGTGAGGGCTGCTTAACATCAATGAGTGGCAATGGAATGCACTTGCCAAGCGTTGGATTTTCGATGTTGCTTTCAACGATTGCTATTCAGTAAGTCCCGTCCCTGTGTGGCACAATCCGTCGAAAGCTTCGTGAAATTTGTGTGTTGTTTCGGTCTGTTGCTATGGTGGAAGGGGCTGCCAAATTCAACAATTAAGCACAATATTTCAGCCTTGACAGCGGACATGAAGTGGAAACACAAATCGATATTGCGCGGTGGTTCATGTCTTGCGCAACCCAGTGTTATTTAAGAAGATCATGTAGTCACTTGGCAGGGGGCTGGCTATACCCTCTCGTGCGTGACAGGAGCTGGGCGCCCCAGAATCCGCGTTTGACGGCTGGAGATTTGGGATCCGGAGTCGTATGAAAGGAACACAGGATTTGGGCAAGGTTCTGAGACCTGTCCCGCAGCTTCTTCAGCATCAAAGGGACATCCGTTTCTTGAATTCGATTGAATTTACTTCTTTTGACTTCTTTTTGAGCCCTGACGCCATCATGATCCAAGAACTGCTTTGTTTTTCAATAGCCCCAATAAGAAATAGGTGACCCCATGCCATGCCGCTCTTCCAGCCTGAAGGGCCCGAGAAGCAGCGGCGACCAAAGCGGAAGGAGCCGCCTAGCGCAGTGCTAGATCGAAGCGATGAAGGAGATGGGGTCCGGGAAATTTAAAAGATTTGACCAATATTCGTGTGGCTTACATCCCTCTCAATCTGTCCCTGAGGGAGATCCAGACTTCGAACAAAGCCTCCGGAGGCGCTTTCTAGACCGGGATCACTTTTCCAAGCTGAGCCAGAGGAGGGTCTTCAGGTGGTCAAATCCAAGCCTAGCGGTTCAAAGAAGCAGCTGTTCGACCCAGAAAGCGAATCCAGTGATGGGGAATGCTCAAGGGACTCCGATGCCTTAGAAGACACACTGAGTTCAGCTGCCCTGAACTTTGGGTGGCACAAGCTCCATGAAGCTGCGAAGGCCCGTTTTGCCAAAGAGGTGTCTGCGGCTGGCAAACAGGAGAAACCCAAACGGCATTATGACAATTCCAAAAGAGCCGCGAGAGCAGCCTATGAACGTACTGCTGGGAAGTTCAAAGAGAATGGTCTTAGCTCTGAAAGGATTACAGGGGTCCTTGCCATGGATGAATGTCTATGTGACATGTATGCAAGTAGTATCTGGTATCTGGTAGACGCTTTTACTTTGATTTGTAATTCTTTTCCACATGCTCTAGACATCATCCCAAACCTGAACATGTGTCCTTCCATGAGGCGCCGCCAAAACATGCTTCAGCCAGTACAAAGAGAAGGAGGTCCGTGGCTTCATGCAAGAGTTTTGGGAGCTCTCCAAGACTGACCAAGACTCCCTCGTGTCTTGTCCCAAATGGTTTGGTTGATTATATAGTCCAAAATGGTTTTGCTAACGCTGAGCCTGCTAACCCCATGAAGAAATTGAAGAACATATTCCACGTTTTGTGCGTTGAATGAACCAGTAATAATCAATGCATCTCAGTTTGCTCTCTCGGTGGATGGAAAGGGCAGCGTTACCTCTTCTTCGTTCTTGGGCCATTCCATTGGGTTCCGATGCCTCGCCAAGCTCGTCGGCGTTGGTGGTCGACGCCTCAAGCGTGCAACGACGATGGTCCCTGACCTTCGATATGGTAAAAACAAGAGTGGACACGACAAGCTTGCGTGTTCTATAGATGCTTTTTTAGCGATGCTTCATGAGAGCGTGGCGGAGACACTACCGGACAGGCAGGGTTGGGAACAAAATTGGTGCTTACAATGATCTACACTTAGCGCTTAACATGTTCAGGTTCGTCCGCCGCGGCCGCGCCGCACATGCAGATGACCCCGATTTCGACATAGAGTCTGACGTAGAAGACGGTGAGTTGACGTCATGGCTCGAACGACCGGGCAAGTCTGTAGCATTCCAGATCATCCATTGGCAAGATTCGAAGAAACTCGTCAAATACCTTCCACCGGGCAACCTGAAAGAGCTCTACCAGCACTACGCGTCCTCACGATCCTTGTTGGGATTGAAGTCCTCCTCGTTTCTCTGATGAGTTGAGCATATTTATATAAATCCATTCCAGTGGAAAAGAGATATGATATGGAGCTGCCCCATATTCAGTTGACCCAAACATGTACGGCAAAGTCTCCTGACTGCTGGAAGTTTTACTCACGCTGCCCTGACAATCACGTATGAAAGTAACCAGATTCAGATTCTTATCCAGAATCCAGCCGTAAATAGTGAACGTTAGTCCGCCTCAAGCCTTGCAGGTATGTCACATTCCTGCGAGTCTTTGCATCAAGATGGCAAGACGTTCTCAAATTTCGTACCGCCAACATGTATCCGGGAACAAAACCTTGTACTCTTTTAAGTTTGTACCTCTCACACGCTTCAGTGAAACCAAAAGAAGACTAATAGTGACTATAAGTTTATCAAAGGTCTACTCCACAATCAAGGTTCTCCCGGTGTGAACTGTGCGAGCACCTCTCACAACAACTGAATGATGCTTCTCTACCGCTGGACGTAAAGCTGGGTACAGTCAAAACATACAGAGATCACCTTCACAGCCAGTACATTGATCGAACCATACAATGGAGCCTAAATGATTTGAGCGCTGACAGCAATTCCCAAACGTTGACCATTTTGGTCGACGGAATGGATCAGGGAAAGTTCAGGCTACCCAGACTGGAGGGGCATCGCGTGATCGCATCAATGTGTCTTGTTGCTGAGAAAAGATTTTGCAAAGGTGATTTTCTCTCCCTCTTCAACCCATGTGTTTCACCTTGCAAATACGTTTTGCAAGAAAATCTGTCTTAGCTCAGGGCCAAAGTAGTGCGTCCAGCACTCAAGCTTCACTGTGCCTGGGCGGTTGGTGCCTTGACTTGTACCCATAATATGATGCCTTTTCTTTGTTCTTCGGGGGTTCTAGGTATGGATCGATGCTATTGTTGTTTGGACGCAAACCTGCGGTCGAGGGTGGCAGCTCAATTTGTTCATATTGGACGACTGTACAAAGCACGACTCCTCAGCGGTTATTGATTGCATCGCAATAACACTGGAACACGTATGGAAAATTTCGCAAGACACGGGCAGGCCCTTTCCAAAAGCTGTCTTTATATGCTCTGACAACACGGTCAGAGAGGCAAAGAATGCTTTCATGCTACAATATTTGGCAAACATGTGCGGGAAGTTCAAGCTCAAGTGCTCCGGCTTGCTGAACCTACGTAAGTCCCACACCCATGATACTGCGGATCAATTGTGGGGAATATTAGCCCGGAGGATCGCATCCTGCGACAAATTGCTATCCCCGCAGTCTGTAATGGAAACGCTCCAGCGTGAACTCGAGCGGCCAGCTTTGCGCTCCTGGCTGGGGCTTCAAACGAACGTCAACATCATGAAGCTAGACGCTTGCCATGCCTGGAGGGCGCAATTCACTGGCCAACGTGTTGGTCTGTCCGGAGGTCTGAAGGACGACGCTACCGCAAACCATTGCTTTGTGCATATGCTTCGCAGAGGCTCCGCTGCAACACCCAATCCCGAAGACACGATTTCCCACAGATTGTTTTGCAAACGTTTTCGAGGGACATGACATGTACTTTTCTCCCACTGTTGAGCGCAAGCACTCCGATGCTCACACTGTTATTTGCTGGTTCCTAGGCTATTTAGTAGCTAAGCATGTGAACATGGTGGTTATAAGATGGTTAAACCATGATGGCCCTACTCAGATTTGCCGGAAACCTTACAGCGCGCAGTGGACAACAGCAGCTTCACTGGACAGCCACACCCTTGCGATGTCATCTGCCTTATCAAGCAATACCTTGGTTCCAACAACCTTGCCCAGCCACCTTTGCTAGTGCTTACGCACGAGCGTTGCAAGCGCTGTGAGATGGTTCCGACAGTAAAGCCACTAGGAAACACAGTGTGGTTGCTGTTACCACCTGCAAGTGGGTGTGAGGGGGGATTGTAGTAAGATACACTGATATATTATGTGCCGTGGTAAGAGCCAAGGCATCCAAACAATTACAGTGTGGCATTTCGAAACCAATGCGCCGAAGTGTTGGCCGCTGTGCGTGCCTCGTACGGAGCATCCTACCAGGAAAGCCTGGACTATCTAGATGGGCTCTCCAGGAACCGCTTCTTCGTTTCTTGTCAATGCTTGGTTTTGTAAAATCATTGAACGCCAGCAACACATGCAACCTAATTCTATTTCTGGTGAGTCGAAAAAGGTGTTGGCCCACTGTCGCCGTATCTCCTACCTAGGTGAGAGCAGCGCTTCAACCTTTGCCCTGGCACTCTGCTGACAGCCAAGCACCCGGCGTTGGTGATCCAGTCTACCGCTTGCACCCCAGCGTAGTGGCCTCGCTTGCCCCCAGCGTACCATTGAGGGCGGCGTTTGGAGGAGCACGACATGTATGACGCTATCTATGTTACACTTCAGTCCTCCAAGAGGATATTGGAGATGAACCCTTCCAATAGATTTTTAATGGCAAGTGAGTGCCTCGGTGCCACGTTTCTGCAAAGAGAGAACTTCCACATGTGTAAGTTTCAACATGTCCAAAGATTGAAACATGTTTTATCTTATTGAGCAACTAAGAACTAGGACTCAAGGCCAGGTTTGGATGTCAAGGTTCAAGTCTTGTTTTGCATTCAGGGAATCAAAGGATAGTGATACTGTGTCTTTGGCCTGGGACTCAAACTTGCAACGGACCCGGCGGCGCCTGTTTGCAAAAGAATTGAGCTTGGCTTCACTCGCGGCCTGTGGTTCCGTGCAGGGTTATCTTCCAAACACTCAAAGAGGTTTGCTCTTGACCTTCTCACCAGGCTATATACGGTTTAGCGGGAGCTGCCAAACCCTGATTATAGGGTGCTCAACTTCAGCCAATTTTGGGCTGAAGCCAAAAGTACAAACGTTCCAAATCAAACCAAAACGGTAGCCAGAAAGAGACACCGCAAAATACCATAATTATAAGAGCACGAAATGCACACTGTCAACTTCAACAATTCTTGCTGGGCATATCTTTAAGGCCTGAGTCTTTGGTGAATCGAAAAGAAACCTTTCCTGCGCTCAGGTGCAGACCTGTGCCAAGGTGCAGACCCGCTCCGGCCGCTCCAGTGGTTGTGGTGGGGATGGCCTGTCGGAGAAAATCGATGCACCCTACCATGGAGGAGCTTCAGAATCGATGCACCCGACTTGGTGGGACCACAAATTTCGATGCACCGCAACCCATCCGGAGGTCACAGGTAGCCAAAGTCGATGTACTCTCCGCCGGAGGGTGCATTGAAATTCTCCATCCAAGAGATGTCTAACGATGTCTCACCAACCTACTTTGTGCATTGACTTTAAGACGGAGGGTCCCAAAAAAAGTCAATGCACTCCCCGGGGGGGGAGTGCATTGAAAACCCTATGATCCGGAGCCGCGGTTCAATTTTGTTTTCAAGGGTCGATATTGAAATTGAACCTACCCCCCTAAATCCATAGGTTTTCAATGCACTCTCCCAGGGAGAGTGCATTGACTTTTATGTTGAGGGTCCCAAAAAATTTCAATGCAGTTGAAAGGTCGTTGCCCGCCACCGAAGAGCTTTTCAGGTTTCAGGCTCTGGTCTCGCAAACGGCTTGCGAAAGGCGACCATGGCCTTAGTCTTAGCCAACCCGTTTTTGCAAAAAGCGAAGAGCATGACATGTTCTTCGCCGGTGAAAGCACCGGGGACTGAACCCAAAGAGGAGAGTGTGTCAACCCCGCCCAGCTCCAAAAAGCCATGCACGGCCTTGGAGAAGTTTGTGAAGGCACAGCCTGGCGACACCACTTTGATGAGGGAATCTTGGGCAGTCTCCAGTCCGTGTTCCAGGAAAATCCCTAACTGCTGGTTGTTTGACTTCATACTTAATAGAACTCTCTGAAAACCACCGGCCCAAGGAGATGGTAGACTTCATGGGCTTATTTGAGGATGAACTGTCCGGAATGAAGCAAGGAGCCCATCCAGTTGAAGCTGTGCCATACTTCCTTGCTACCGCAAACGAAGAGAACAACAAGAGCCGAATGAAGTCCTTGGAGCTTTGGTTTATGGGGTACCAAGCCAAAAGGAACGAGGGGATTATCTTCAAGTCGGCATCCGCCATGGTCTGATGCTTATTTGGGAAAATAACATGTAGAGACTGTTGAGTTAGGTGATGCCAACGCACCATATCCTAAAAGGTGTCAAGGCACTTGCCGCCAGCACATCCCCGCTCAGGTTGTGGACAAAAGCATGGACAAGGACACTCTAAAGTTGCCAATCAGCTCTTTCCGGCAGCTTGGCACTTTTCTTGTGCCAAGACAATCAGTACAAGTTGTGCTCATCAATACAAGGTGAGCATTGTTCAAAGTTGAGTTCTCAATTCTCAGCCGCTTGTTTCCAAGGTTTTGCCCACCAGCGGACGGACTACCCTGCATCCGTGATTGGGTCGTTTGCTGGGAGTCCATGCTCCACGGGATTGACTTAGGACGGGAGCCCATATCCGGAAATGCCTAGTACTCAGTCACGGAAAAATAACACCAAAGCAAACCCAGGTTTTTAAGTGAAAAGAACTTTCTCTAGGTCACATTTGCCGATGGGGAGAGTGCAGATCTTATTTGTTAGAACATTGCGATGGCATGTACGATGTGATTTCGCGGTCGGTCCAGTCAAGTTCTAAGTTTTATGTTTTATTCCAAGTCAGGTTCCAAGACATTGGACAGCTGCTCCGTCGACATTGTAAAGGGGTACACCAAAGCTTCGGTGATTATGTTTGTTCTGATGGCGCTTTCAGAGCTGGACGTCAACAACGCAGAGGATTGGGAGAAGTGCCGGCCTTTTGTGACATTCCTGGACAAGGCTTTCTTGCTACCAACATATGTACCTTAGATTCAGATTCATTTAGTCGTGTTTATTGTAAACTATAAACCGTGTGGAAGCTAAAAAAGTGTAGTGTAGAATAATGTTGTTATATTGTTTTTATATTTGCTATATTGGCACATGTATATAATGGAATTGTTTTGAAGCTTGGGATTTGGGATCAAGGTGATGGTCGACCAGCCCAAGGATGTTCAGAGCTACTTGAACTTGACCCTTTCCTTTAGGGGATCTGAGCGGCAGCCACCCTCTGTCTTGTCCCTAGCTTTGACCTTCAGCTCCATAATGAAATCCAAGAGTGAAGGTGGCCAGCACGATCCAGCTCTTTCTACAGAGACCAGGTTGAAGTTGATTGTAGATGAGCTTCACAACACTCCGGGTTTTCTGAGTCGTTGGGCGCTGGACGAATCCAAACAAAAGGCCGTTCTGAACCTACTGCAGGGAACCTCAGAGAAGACAAGGGCTTACATCGCCCAACATCTTGACTTTCACAAATGGAAGGAGTGCAGCCTGACGGCCGACTTGCTGCGGTCAGCGAGGTGGTTGATTGGAGCAGCGCCCAAGACAACCAAGGCTCAGCTCAAGTCAACATTGACAGTGTCAGCAGAAGCCCAAGAGCGCTTCATTCAGAACCACATTGCCACATTTTGTCACGCTACCCGACGTGTGAAACCATCCGCTCGCTCGAAGCACAGACCGAGCCAGCAAGAGTGGGATCGCCTGGTTGACTACAGCTGTGTCATGCTCAAGGTCAAACAAGAGGTTGTGGAAGCTTTTGGGGCTGATTCTGACCAGACTTCTTCAATCCTCGATGCGCTGGATGAGGCTTTCATGTCGAGGACGGGAAGTCGACTTCCAAGCTTCATGAAACTGTGGATTTAGCAGTGGAACACAACCAACAATTTGTACCTTTCCAGGGTCCGGGGCCATTGTGATAATCTTCCACTATAAACGGGCTTTCCATATCTTTCCATTCTCCTTTCGCTAAAAGAGTTGTCGACCTGTTTCAGGGACTATTATGAAGAGATCCTGGCATGCGTGGAGGTGGCTCTCCCGAATTGGTCTGTCAAGCACCTCAGTTTGTGGACAGAGCTGGTCAACCCGGCCGTGAAGGATGAGATTGTGGAAGATGTCTCTCATTTGGAGGAGACGACCGTGGCCGCCCAATACATAGAGATGAAATCAAAGATTGCGCCATTCGTCACAATTAATTATCAAAGATTTTTTTTGCCAGCAACAAAAATCAGCAGGTCAAAAACCATCCCTAAGAATGGTTTAACAACAGCGCCAGTCAGAGAAAACTTGTTGGAATCTTCAAGTCTATTCAGGATGGATGAGTTGGCTTGGACCCGCTACAAGCATGCCCAGCACAAGCGCAAGTGTCGCGACCACGTTCTGCAAGTCACGCACGTCAAGGCCCAGAATGTCATTGGACAGGGGACTCTCGGCATATATTACAAGACTGTAATAATATGTTGCTGTTTCTTTCACAACCCCTTGGTTGAACACCTTATTGACGCTCAAGATGGGCCAACTTTTTAAATGAACTTGGGGTGGCCCAGGCTGGTGGAGCAGCAAATGGAGAAAGTGTGCAATGTGAGCCTTGTCCCAGACATCGCGGCTATCCCAAATATTGAATCCTGGTTGAGACAAGCCGCTGTGGAACGAAAGGCAGGGTGGCGGTGCATTGTGTTGATGTTGATCCCCTGTTTTGCAACCATTGTATCGAACAAATGCCCCAGGTCAAACCAGAAAACCTTGCAGTTCTTGTGGTCGTGGACTTCACGAAGATTGGGGTTGTTGGCACATCCATGGTTAACAAGCACTGCACCCTTTTACAAAAGGTCTTGAGCCGGAACCAGCAACGTTTCTTGGATTCCCATGGCGTTCTTTTCGCAAGCTGATTGGATTGTTTAATTGTGTGTCTGTGGGCGTAGGAATGTTGCAGCACTTGGTTTTGTTCTGATGGCTTTGGAAAATTTTATCAAGGCTCTGCCGGTGTGATCCTCGCCCCGCTCTTGGTTGGCACGGCTGGCGGGGGATCTTTGAGAAGGGACTACCGCGAGATTGAAGACAAAGCAGCCAAGTGTGGCTTAGCTTTGAGAGACCTGCGCCTTTGTGTGGATCTGAGCTCAGTTCATGGGAACTCTGATCGTCCACAATACTACCAGGGATGGCTCGCAATCCCAGACAGTACTTTGCCCGTCAAGGGTGTTGGCTACAGAAGGAACAAGAATGATCTACATGATGGTGACACTCCTTCACTCACAGTGAACGACTTCGTGACCTCCGACTTGTGGCGTTTGCAGGGGTTCCCTCTTGACAACGTGCCGGCTGGGCTGGGCGAGAGTGAATTTGCAGTTCCGAGCTTGAAAAGCCACCTCCAGTGCCACGACTCTCGTCGGAATTTGACAGACAGTCAAGAGACGAGTCAATGGCTAGCTGGTGAGAGCATCATGTCGAAGATTGTCACCTGCGCTCTCGGTAGCTAACCTGGCATTTGATTCATTTTGAGTTTGAGTTTTTGGTAAATATGTCATTTCAGATCTGTCCGCTTGTTGAAAAAGCATCAACTCAGTTGACAGCTTTTGGCTTGGTGTTAAGTAAATCCAAGGCGATCGAGCGAAGCGGGCTTGTGTCATTCACTCCACTGCTTATTGCGGGTCTTTGGAGAAGGCCTGTTGGAAGATGCAAATACCCACGTTGGGTGTCACCGACACGCCTGTCTACCACGCCCACACGAAAATGGCGCTCGGAAATATGATGCTTCAGGACAGCATAGACAAAAGGAATCATCAACACATTGGCATTTGGAAACTGTCTTGCTTGATGTTTCCTAGCTGTTCCAAAAGTCATTTGTGGCGGGGCTGAATACCGTGGTCCTTCATGTTTTTGCCTCCAGGAATGGAAAAGTTGCACTGGCGTGATGGGCAAGTTGCACCCTCGCTTCAAGGCTCAACCTACAGAGGATGCGCCAATGACCATTGAAGTGCCGTCCCTCCTGGTCTGCTCCATTGATGGTGATGTGTTGGGCATTCCTCCCACCATTCGGAATCAGTATATTGCGGACCCAATCCGTGCTCCAGAGTGGAGGAAGTTCTTGACTGCCTTTGATCAGAAGTGGTCTGGACCTGTTGATGCTACTCGTGCTCCTGTTCCTACGGAACCTGAAGGAGAAAGCGCTCTTGTGGACCCAGAAGATGGTGCAGAGGGGGCTGTCGTGAACAATGCTTCGGCTTCTCCCTCTTATGATTGGAGCAAGGCGTTTGCGGGAGAGCCCAAGACCAAGGCTGAGTTTGAGGTGAAGTACACATCGCTGCACAGCTTTGCCATGAACAACAACCTCACGGGGCACATTGTGGAAGGGCCCAAGCTCTTTGCTGTGGCAACGGGTGACACAGAATGGACCAGGGAAGAACCTATCGTTACCTTTGGGGCTGGAGTTTGGCTTCTCGATGCAAAAGCACAGGCGTACCAGCAGGAAGAGGGTTCTTTGTTGCTTCTAAATGTGTATTTTTACAAAACATAGTATATATAATATTCATCCTACACAGAATTTGAAATAGTCACAATTTATCGTAGTTTTACATCAGCACACAAAAATGACTTCCCGCAGGAACATCCTTCCGAGGGCTACACCTTCAGTCTGGGCAGCGACCAAGACACTGTCGTTCTGGAGGCTGGATTCCTTTGGGTTATGTCTCTGAACCCAACCAACTTAGCATTCCCTTTTCAGTCAAGTCTTGGGAAAAATCTGACCCCTTGAAGGACACCGATGAAATGATGGAAATGATGGAGAACCCTTGTCCTTGAGGGAGGCGCTCCAATCATGTGAGCGGCAGGGCCTCGTCGACTATGAGCTTGCTGGACACAATTGCGCCAGGCCTGCCGAGGTGTGCGCTGGCCAGGATGAGCAAGACAGGCCCACCGCCAATGTCAAAAGTCTCAGGTCCGTTCCAATGTGCCAGAACAAAATCTATAGGCACCATTTCATGTTCAATTACTGGCCCTGCAGGTTTACCGTATCGTTGAAGGAGGATACAACCATGCTTTGGCGTCCTTCCAACGTCCAATTGAAGAATGTCAAGCACAAAAATGTTGCTTCATACTTTGAGGCTCGGCAGGTGCTTGCATCGGAGGCAGTGGACCAGGCCATGGTCGATGTGAGTCATGGTTCTCACCCAACATGGTTTTAGAAACCATGAAGCATGACTGCAACAAAATAGATAATAAAATGCCCGGGCCAACCCTCCTTAATTACTCTGACCGATCCCAATGGTCCAGGTGTGGCGGATCCGAGCTTACGCGGAAGAGAAAACCATAGGGGCTGCAAAGCCTTTAGTGCTACTCAAAGGATCCTTGGCTTTGCCAGCAGGGCAGGCGCAGCGTCTTCTTTGAGGATGTCTGAGTGCGATGAATCTACGGGTCCTGCCTAACCGGCCAGCTCAAAGGAAGTTGTGACATGTGACTCTTTCTCTGAAACATGGACTCAGTGAAACGGAAGATCATCGTGATAGCATCTGTTGTGGGCTGGTCAGGGTGAAACAGGCTCCAGTGGACTTCCTTTTGAGCGGGGGGGGGTAGCAGTCATTTGGGAGGCCTTGTGTAAGAAGACTCTCGTAAACCTGCCAAAACTTTTAGACATAACGCCAAACATGTCATTTTGTTTGTTGGGGAGCCATCCCTTCAAGACTGCTTGGGGGTTTTCATAACATCACCACACTCTAGAGCAACCACGCCAGAGATGAAAAAACTCGGATCCGCCTTCGCCGCGGAGATGCAGCACTCAGCACGCTCTCTTGGCAGGTGTCCTGCAAGCATGTATGGTAGCTGCCCATGGTTAGTGGCTCCATTTCTATAGCTGGTGTTTGATTAGGCGTTCATTGCTTGAAAAAGCCATGGCAAGCCAATCCATGGACATCGAAAACGACAGCTTTGAGGTGGTGTGGATCCCTACTGCTGAGGAGACAGTGGAGTTCACAGCACCGCCACCCCCCTCACAAGGATTTCATTCTATTTCCCCTACAATGCCCACTTTCTTGGCCAGTGAGAAAACGGAGTGGTGTGTCAACTTGGGCAAAGCTGAACCAGTCCCATTTGCACCATCTACAAGTGCAAGGCACTATGTTTTGTTTGTCTTGTCACGTTCAAGAATTGAATCACAAAAGCTATCATCCACATTGCGCCCCCCAAATGTAAAACTATTGGACTATTGGCAGGTCACCTTCACCTTCGCGGAGACCACCTTTACGGTTGATTCCTTTCTGTGAATCCCCACCTTTGAGAACAGCTGCCAAGAGCAAGGCAGGGCCGCCCGATTTCCCAGAGAATGCCGTTGGAGACGAGGTGCCGGTTCCAAAGTGGGTCAGGAATATGGACCGTGCCGCTGGTGGCGGCCAGCCATTGCCGTCAGTTGCGAGGGTGCTGTTTCCAGAGGGGGAGGAAGGCCGTGGCACTGGTGGCAATAAAAAGACCCACCCATTGCCGCCGGTTTCAGAGGTGCCGGTTCCAAAGGTGGTGGAACCGGTTGGGGAGATGGGCCATGCTGAGGAAGAAGAGACCCCGCCATTGAAGCCGGCGTCAGAGGTCCCGGTTCCACAGGTGGTGGAACCGGTTGGGGGAATGGGCGGAACACTGGCAAAGCGGCGCAGGCTTGGCCTGCCAACCGCTCCTACTCCTGTGCCTGGAGAGTCAAAGATGGTCAAACCACCCAATCATCCCCAGCAGCTGCCCAAGCCTCGCCAAACCCATGAAGTGAAAACCAACACTGCTGAACGTCAGCCTGATCAACGCAAGCCTGAACCCTCAATGCCTGTTGATGATGTTGATGGGCTTTCCCAGAAAACGTTGGTCCTTGGGCAGTACGGGGATGATACCTCAGAGCCAGAACAGGAAAAGAATGACACCCAGCCAGGAAGTTCCAAAGATCGCCGTGTAGAGAAGAAAACAAAACAAACCCCAGAGGAAAAGGCACCCGTACATCGGGCAGCTTCCAAGCGATGGCATGACAAGTGGCTCAGTAAGGGGGTTCCACGGGATGGCGACCCGAAGCAAGCCTCCAAGAAGCCCTCCCAGAAACCTTCCGAGAAGCCCTCCCAGAAACCTTCCGAGAAGCCTTCGAAGAAGCGCTCTGGCAAAACCTCCAAAAAACCCGATGTCCCCAAGGAGACCTTACTACCTGTAAAGGAAGAAAACATGGTTGAGTTCAAAATAATCTAGCCCTGTTGGGGATCAGGTACTGAATTGGCAAAACTACTGTAGTAGTTACAGAATTGGCCCAGTAGAATTGCCCCTGAAGGAGGTGCAGGAGGCCATGACGAAGGATGGCTTGGACCTCGCACTTCCCGACACCAATGACCTCCGTTCATGCAAGGGCATCTTCATCCAGGAGTTCATCAAAAAGCTGGACTCGCACGATGAGGGAGGGGAGACCGAGGGTAGTGTTCTTTCCCGGGGTCAGAAGTACCAGTCCGCCACAACGGCTTGGATGGCTTCCCATTTGAGAGCTACTTTGATGGCTGCAAGAGCTAAGCCATCTGCCTAATCTTCTTGCTGAAAGATGCAAATTCTGTTTCAAACATGCGCTTTGGGGTTGCGCGCAGTGAAAAGTGATAACTTGCACCATCATCGAACCCAAAAGCCGAAACCATCGTCATCGACTCGACCTTCCAAGAGAGGCTGACAGGGCCAAGATCTTCATTTTCACCTTCCGTTTTTGCGCCCTGTCAACCTCTCTTGGTCTCCTCCCTTACAGTCGGTCCTCCTCCCTCGCAGGCTGGCGCTGGCTGGGCGCAGCTGCTGCCACCGCGGGGGGTGGCAAATGCCACAGGGGTGGAGGGAGGGCCCCCAGATCTAGATACCTTGAATTTAGAGCCAGATACCTTGAAATTAACTTGTTTGTGTTTGATCCTTTCCTAGCTGCAAGTGACAAAGGTATTATCCACGGCATCTGGCAAAGAAATGATTTCAGACTGCATTGCTGGGCGAGCAACGGTTCACAGTAGTTCATAGAGGACGATTTTATCTAGGGTCTGTCCTATTAAATATTACCTGGAACAGTCAGTAAACAATCATCATCATTTTTGAAGAAAGGCTTTACTAACCATCATTATCCACTGTGCCCAAGTAGTATACACCCAAATATTATCTTTCAAAGGCACTCCAGCATGTCACAAGGCTGGTGCTTTCGATTGCTTGGTCACAAAGTACTCCCCGCGTTCGCTTCGCGGACTGGAGGACCAAGAGGAAAGGGATGCCAAAGAGATCGCTTCGATCGTGAAGGCCTACGTGGAGAAGCCCTACGTCATTCCTGTGGCTTTATGCAAGGCGCGGAGCAGCTAACAGATGCATTTAGCAGATGCATCTTTTAGATGATGCAATACCATGAAGAACTCGACGCTCTGAAGTGTACTTCTGGGTCCCATGATGGTTTGTTTCAGTATTTATAAGTCCGTGACGGGTACCGTCGTTTAAGCCATGGACCGTGGATTCACAGGAGTTCGTCACCGCTTTGTTCCGAACGCGCTCCAATCGGACTGAGGCAGAGAAGTCTGAGGAAACTCAAACGGACATGGAGGCGTTGAAAGGCGTTGGACTCAATCCCAAGAAGGCCTTGGTGATTGTGAATTACTTCAACAAGCAGCTCTATGACCTTCACACCTTGTCCGACTTCAATGACTACTGTGAAGGCTACCTGGCCAAGTTCCACCGAGCGCATTTTGCCGCTCGGCTCAAAAAGCTGGGTCACCTTCACCCGTGAAATCTTCGCAGATTCGATGACCACTTGACGCTCTGAGCGGTTTCTCTGGGCTAAAGAATGCACGTGAAGCAAGTGAAGCATGCGCACACAGATGACACTCCCTGAACCAATCATGAAAGTGGAAAATAGACCCTTGCAAAGCATTATGTGTTCATCTACGAACAGGCGGTGTTCCACTTCCATGTCAATGAGAGGACGCCCTGAATGCTACAAGTCCTGAAGATGCTTCAGAATTCAAGGTGCATGCGGATTACACATGGTCTGGTTTCTGAAACATGTTTCGACCAACGCTGCCGGGGGTTCCCACAACAAACTTGCGTGACCAGGCCAATGGCTGACACCTGACACACCTGAGGTCACGAGAGTGGGCAATTCCGGAAACGAACAACGGGCATCACTGGCGTAGCTCGTTAAAGGGCTATGCGCGGCATCGCTGAGGTCATGTTGCACTTCAAAGATGGGATCAACAAGGACAGAATGAGCTTTGAGGAACTTCGCCAGTACTACGAGAGGTTGTGCGAAGAGGAACCTCGGCAGGACCCGCGCAACAGTGCATTGTTTCCTAATTCAGCTTCCGCCAGGCGCGATCTTCCAGCACTTTCACAGCCTAATTTGGATGACAGTTTGTTCCGGTATTTTGGTTGCATCATCCCACTCCCAATCAAGTGCTCGGAACCAAGACCAGTCATCGGATTAGTAGTAATCAGTGGTATTGGTTGATTTCGGATTAGTAGTATCAGTATCAGTTGTATCATCCCAATCAAGTGCCTTGCCTTGTGCAGCCAAGGAAGAGGAGACCATCAAGAAGAGGATTGAGGACTTGAAGCATGAGCAGGAATCCAAGACTGAGGCCCGAATTGCTTTGGATAGTTGGTCAAGAGCTAGGACCAGGAGAAAAAGAGCAACCACTTTTGTTTTTTTCGTTTGATCAAAGCCCAAGTTGAATGCTCGTCGAAAGAGATGGATCCATCAGCACGTTGCGCTCAGCAGCACGTTGCTCGCTGCCATCCTTCCGTGGGTCCCAGGTGTCTCGACAAGTCCAGGAAGCTCTTGGCATCAAGTCGGCGTTTGGGTCGATGCAGTCCAGATTGTCCGCTTCTCAGGAAGCTCTTGCGACCGGGTCGGTGGAGGGGAAACATCCTGAGGCGTTCATGGGGGTTTTGCCGGATCCTGTGGCGTTCATGGGTGTTCTTACAGGTCAGTTGAGACATGCGCCACTTGCAAGAGTTCTAAACATGCTGATAAAAGGAGTGCAGGGGCAACCAAATTCAACAAGGTATCATACATGCCTGATTGCAAGAACATGAGCAGCAAGATGGAATACGATGTTCATTTTTGAGGGGATGAGCAAATGAGCCAGCACCAGCGGTTTGAGAGCCAGATACTGTAACGACCACGAGGGCAGGATTACAAAGGATGAGGTGAAGAACAAACGGTGCTAAGCATGAAGAAGCAAGACAAGGTCTTTGAATCTCTAAGAAGACAGCAGTTCCAGTGATGAGAAATTCAGCCCATGGGAGAGAAACCTCCAGAGAATATTGCATGGGAAGCCTTGAGGGACAAGATGAGCACCTTACAGCAAGTATAGTCAGTAGTCTATGCATGTCTATGCTGCGCGCGTACCTGAACCACCCTCCTT